CGTGAGATCGAACGCATGGCAGAAGGCAGGCTGGTTTACTGCGCCTCCATCTGCAGCAGCTGCGGTCTTATCTGCTGTTGGAGCGGGAGCTATCTTAAGTTAGCCTTCCGTAGGCAGTGATAGATACAGCTGTCGGCAGCAGTGACAAAGCCCACCTCTTGATCCCGCGATCCCAGTTCCAAATTCTCCTAGGCGCTCATATCGCCAAGCAATTTTCATTTTCTCTTCTTTCCTCCTGTCCACTTTGTCTTCCAACAAATCTGCTGGTCCTACAAGGCCAGGAAGACTCCTCCCCCATTGCTCACCGATTCCGATGACGTGCACCTTGTGATCCTGTACCACGCCCTCTGCAGCGTAGTATCTCAGCAACGTCCCCGCGAAATCAGTGGTCCCATTCTCTTCAATAAGCAATATCTTTCCAAGCGGGAGCCCAGCATGCCCGGCTAGTAGATTGTCCAGCGAACGGGCGCCTGTAGACGTCGTTGGCCGTCCATCGTCGGGGGAGGGCCGCACACCAGAGAGAGATTCTGCTGCGGAGGGGGCGGCGGGGGGTTGTTGCGCCGCCGTAGGAGATGGCGAATCGCGACTTGCTCCGGACGAAAGTCCTATATTCCTTTTGCGAAACGACATAATTGCATGCAAAAGGCACTCGAATATAGATACAGCAAGATAGAGAGAGAAACTGAAGCTTTGAAGATTGTTCTGAGATTTCAGAAACTCTTTCAGAAGGCTCCCAGATCCGACCAATGGTTGTGCGGGGCAGCTCCGCGGACCCAAAGACAACGCGCTAAGAGAATTCAAAAAAAGCTTCATCGGCCGGCTCTTTGAGCTGCAACCTCCGCCATCATATTATTATTCCCAGCGATTTGGTGCGACTCCAATCGCTCTTTCTCCGCTGAACCTGGAACCTAAAAAAGTTCAGCGAGCTATCTTCGAGACACAGAGCGATTGATTGTCGTATAATCCACCAGCCTCTCGATCGTATATCCGTGCCCTGCCGTCAGCGATCGCAACCATGTCCGATCCTCAGCTATTCGAAGACACCTTCACGATCACCGCCATCAACTCGCAGAAATATGACCGTGTGTCGCGCATCAGCTGCACCTCTACGGATAACCTCACCACCTTCACGCTCGACGTGAACACGGAGCTGTACCCCTGCCAGGTGGGCGAGACGATCTCGATGGCGCTGGCGTCGACGCTGTCGCTCGACGGCAAGGATGAGAACGCGACGGCTTCCGGGAAGGTCGGCTGGAGAGAGGTCGGTATGGGAGAGCAGACGCTCGCCAACGAATACGACTACGTTTGCCACGGGAAGGTATACCGTTTCGAGGAGGGGTCAACTGCTGGCAACATGTGAGTGTGAACAATGCGGAGTGGTGGCATCCATGTCGACAATGAATCGCGCTAACCTCACGATTGCTACGCTAAGGTCTGTTTTCATCTCGTTTGGAGGGCTGCTGTTATACATTGACGGACCGTACAGCAAGCTCGTGCCTTTGAGGATCGACTACGTCTATCTACTCCTGAAGAAATAGATTATTTGTAATTTTTTTTCGCTTTTGTTCAATGTTCATTGGGTCGGATAAAAGAGAAAAAAGTCAAAAATACTTGCATTAGCGCTGGCGTTTTACGGGGGCTTGGGAATCGTTATATTTTCAAATCAAAAAGACATTTATGTCCTGTCTCTGGATTTCACAAGTTCGACTCTATCTGTGGATATCTATCGACTTGCATGAGATGCTTTGGGGAATTCCAGACGGCGATGTATCCTGGCCACGATCTCCAGATAGTCAGGCTCATTCTCCGGTGTCAGAATGCCATGACGGATGAAGAAATCAATCACAACCACCGCGCAATTGGGCTTCCATTCCCCTCTGCGCAGCGATTCCTTGACCTCGTCAACGGTCCAGAGCCGGAAATCTTCCACTTCCGAGTCGCAGGGCTTGGGGATGATGTTGGCGTCCAGCTTAAGATCGTAGATGTATTCTATCTCGGGCTGAAGCAACCCCGTTTCGCCGCCTGCGCGCGAGTCGCGAACGTAGAAGTATGTAACACACCCGGCCGGCTTCAAATTCTTCTTCAAGACATCTTCCGGGATGGACGCCTCTTCCATCGCTTCGCGAACCCCACAGTCGTATGGGAGTTCGCCGGTGCTCATCCCGCCGGCTGCAGTATTGTCCAGCATCCCGGGGTAGGTCTGTTTCGTCAGCGATCGCCTGGCGACCCATAGTCTGAGGCCCTGCTCGTCTTCGACATAGCCGGTAATGTGGACTCCGTAAGTGATGATGCCAAAAAGCGGGCTGGCCGATCGCTCCATCTCGAGCAAGAACTCCCCTCCCGGGCCGTAGACTGGGTACATCTCGTTGCGCCAGCCCTTCAGGACCTCGAAAGTCTCCCGCTTGACAGCTTCTGCCAGAGTGCGGGCCATGAGCTCACTGCGCAATGCGGGCGTCGCATCTGGGGGCGCCATCAGCGTGACCGTCTGAGACGACGAGTCGACGTTCCAACAGTCCTCCAGCCAGTGGAACTTCTCGACGACGCGGTTGGGGATATAGCCGAGCACGGCATTGCAGCCATTGACTTTGAAGGCGTGGTAGTTTTTCAGGTGCGCCTTGTAGGATTCAGGATCATCCTCATAGTAGGGGAAACTGTTGGGGTGTCGAGGGTCAGCTATGAAACCTGCAACTGGCAGCATTGCGGAGTACTTGCTTGTCACATTCATTGATCAGATCGAGATTGGATTTGTTCATGTTTGCAGTATTTATGTGGTTCGTATGTATGTACAGGTATGTACAGCAGAGAAAACGTCGAGTGAGAGAAGAAGTCGACTGAGAGATTTTAAAACGTCGACTGAGTCGCGATACAGTCAGACAGTACAGTCATACAGTATGAGCCATAGCCAGGCCAATCAGGCAGCGACGGAGACACGGGGTCGGACCGGAGACACAAACCCTTATCGATAAGGGCAAAAAGCTTCCAATTCGATTCCCAGCAGCGGAAGTCTGTCGTCACTGCTTGTTACGGAGGGCCCGCGAAAAGCGTCACCTAGGAGAAAGGAAAATATTAGTACAGCAACACAAATTTATTTATGGCATGGCACACCCCTGCTCCACAACCTCCAAACTACTGTCATGCGAGACGCCGTCACTGTTGCACAGCTCGACTACTAACCCACTTTTCGTTTCCTTGCACAGTCAACTAACAGCTCCATAATAATCGCTAGAACTACCCCGCTTTAGCAGTCAGGACTTTATATATACTGTCGTGCAGCTGAGCTTCAAGGAAGGACGCTCTCCACCATGTTCTCAGTCATTGTTCCAGGGAGACCCTGTCTCACGGACATCGCTGCTATCGATGCCCAGCCGAACGCTCAACCGACCAAGTTCGCGTTCACGTTTCCCGCATATCCAAAATTCAACCACATTGTCGTCTTCTTCCTCCCAGGAACCGTCCTGCCCCCGGACACAGCCGCAGCGATCTATATCCAGTCTCCTGAATCCAAACCGACGCCGAACGGTCCCGAATTCCGATTCCTAGGCGCGATATCGAACGAGAAGCCCTCCGCGATCTTCAAGATCGGGTCCTCCTCGCAGCCCCGTCGCTCGGAGGCCGAGGAGGAAGACCAAATGCTGGACGAAGACGCGACGGGCGCACGGGACGTGACCAACGGACAGGTGACGCTGGGCATCTCGATAGAGCCGGCGCAGAGCGTCGCGGCGCAGCTCGCGACGCTGAACGCGTCCCGGAATCCTCCTGAGCTTTCTTCCTCCACCGCCCTGGTGCGCCAGACGCCGCAGCAGAAGCAGATCACCACGAAGGTGCTTGCGCAGAGGATTATCGGGAACGCGTTCAATTTCCTGGCCAGCTTCGCCGATAACAAGCAAGGGGAGGAGATGGTGCCGCTGAAGAGCTTCAGGGATTGGTGGACGAAATTTGAGAGACGCATAGACGTGGACCCGTCGTTTCTGGAACGCGAGGATCCTACTCAAACTTGAGGTTATGATGATAATTTATGGAGTTGAGTTTGGACGAGCTCGAGGACTATATGTATATAATGCTAATAGAACTGTTTTGCAAGGCATTCAGAATTGTTTTACGTATTAGTTAATTTGCACCAGAAGTATATGTGGCCAACCCTCTATGCCCTCTATGAACAGTACTATGCATCTATATCCAACATAACCCAGACAGCCATCACTCATCAAGCAAGAACTTCAGAAAAGCCACCCCAACAGCAACGCCGTCATGGTGATTCTTAACCCTGCTCATCGCCTCCTTATACTCATCCTCTGTGAAGACGCCGTTTTTGTAGCGCGAGTCAAGGATCTCCTCCACGATCTCGTCGGTGAACTCGGGATGTCCCTGGACGGTGATCAAGCGACGAGGAACGTACATTCCCTGGACGGCGCAGCGGGGTGAGGACGCGAGAGGCGTGACACCTGGTGGATAACTATATACGATATCACGGTGCATCTGGAGCAGGCTCTACGAGAACGATACCGAGTCAGCATTGGAAATCCTATCCGGCCACCAACCTGGTTGGAAAATCTGAAAAACGAAATTCAGGTTAAATCAACTCACCAGTTTGTCCCTCTGAAACAGCTCCTTGCCATTCTCTGTCAATTCCATATCGCACACCGATATCTCCCAGCCCTCATCGTTCCTCCCAACCTTGACTCCAAGCGCTCTCCCCACGATCTGGTGTCCGAAGCACACTCCGATAATGCGCACGCGGTGGTGCGCATGTACCTTCTGCGTAAACTCGACCAGTCGGTTTATCCACGGTATGTCTTCGAAGGAGTTGTGCCCTGCGCAGAGAGGATGAGTCAGTCAAGCGGCGCCTCTTTGAAAAAGAAAAGAAAAGGGGAGAAAAAAAAACATACTCGACCCCGTGATCAGAATGGCATCTATGTCCTCCAAATCCGGATACTGGTCTCCATTGACAACGTCCCACTTTGAAATCTGGAGGTCCCTTTCGGGATCGAGCTTGTCCGGCTGGCTCAACGCCGCGGCGCTAGTTTTGAGAAGCGCCTCGAACACGCCGCCGTATCCTCCATACTTTTTATTTGTGTTTTCCAGCGGGGTGTCCGTTTCGAGGACGGCAATGCGGAGCGGAGGGCGCATGGCGACGGTGACGGTGGCAGTGACAGGGACGGCGGCGGGCGACGGCGGGGTAATTAATTCGAGGGGAATGCGCACGATGTAATAAGGATAGGATGTCTTTCTTTCTTCGCAAGCTTCTGCAGGACTATGTATAGATGGACTCTCGTTATTTACCGAACAAGGAAAACGAAGGACGAAACCTACTGACGCAGCTGTCTGTTCTGCGTGCGATTCCCCTTGCGCGAATTTACAAAGTCTATACCTCCCCGGTTGAAGACGGGCGGATTGCAGAGCTTATCGGCATTCACCCCGCCCGCCGCCTAGTAGTAAGTACATAGCACGACAGTACATAGCTACACACACATTTTAATTTAATTAAAGACATTTTTTCTTACTGCAATTGACAGAAATATCCAATCTAATATAATTGGAGAATCGCATCATCGATCACGAGTGCTCTCCATATCGCACACTGCTGAGCTCCCCGGAGTCAGAAACAGCAGGGAACTGGCGTTATCGCTGGAATGCAAATGCCATGACGGTGCCTCGTGACTCAATATCAGACCCCGCAACGGCATGCGCCACCAATATTAATGCAACTCGAGTCGTCTGTTGTTGGTCTCGCATCGATCTAAAAAAGAAATAAATATAAATGCGCACTGCATCGGTAGCATAGCCGTCTTGCCGCAGACACAGCTAGCTACCCCTCACCAGTGGAGCAGTGTTAATTAACTCAGCTACTAACAGGTAGTCCGTCCATGCTTGATGCATCATGCAGCAGGGAACCCTGGCTCCCGGCCCGTACTCCGTAGCCAGAGTATGGCAATTACTGGCACAGGTCGACATTTTTTGTTAACAAAGCTTGACATTTTTTTTAAGTATATGTATTTTTTCTCTGCAGTTTTGGTTCCAGCCTAGAGCTAGCTGGTCATGGGGCCAGAAATTCTGCAGTTGCAGTTCTAAGAAAATGGTATGTGCTGTACTGTACTGTACAATGTGGAGAGGCCATAGACTAGCTAGTTCGTTTACCTATCTCCCACTCCCGTAGTTATAGTTAGTACTCTAGACTGTCTTAAAGCCATGCAGACGGCGGATCCACACTCTATTAACAAGTTTTTTCGGCGAGTTGACCGCTGCAGCATATTACCAACGGAGAAAAAAAGCCGCAACTCTTACTTCCTAGGTCATGAGGAGAGAGAAATTCCTAGTCATGGTTTTGCATTGCTTTGTCAATTTTTTAAATTGAGACTTATCGCACATGAACACTGTAAATTGGGGCCAAGTTCGTTCGCTCGTGAACTATATAAGTACTTACTTACATACCTACATACATAACATTGCAATCCCTCTGATTCACCGCTCCAGCAACGAGGGACTGCAATTATTAATCTATCTTCGACGCCGTCATGGGAGACAAAACGGAGCATCTGGAAGAACAACAGCCTGCCGCCGATGAAACAACCCCGTTGATCAGGCCAAACGAGTCCCATAGATTGGTGACCGGCTACAATGGCATTGCAAAGGGCGATCACCACTACCCTACCGGATCATCGTCAGTCCCGGGCCTCCCTGATGATAGATGTTCTGAGCGTCTCGACCTCGTCAAGGTTCCTTCGCTCTCGGCCGGGATCGACATCGAGCCTGGCCTCCAGAGGGTGACCTCTGCTGCTACAGTCCCTGAACATGAGCGGGCATCCGGGGATCCAGAGGCCGCAAATCCCGCAGCAGCAAGCCCTCGATATGCCGACAGATTCATCGGCGTGACGCCGCGAAGATTCTGGCTGATATTCGGCGGCATCCAACTGGGGTATACGATTGGATTCTTCGACTCAACCTTGATGGCGTCCAGCCATCCGGTCATCACGTCGCATTTCCACGCGTCGAATTCGGCCTCCTGGCTCTCGACTGCGTTTCTGCTCACCTCGACGGCTCTCCTGCCTCTCTTCGGCCGGATTTCCGATACCTTTGGTCGGAAACCGGTATATATATTCTCGATCGTCGTCTTCTTCTTAACCACCGCCTGGTGTGCCGTAGCTCAGAGTATCGGCAGCTTCATCGCCGCAAGAGCTTTCTGCGGACTCGGGGCCGGTGGTGTCTTCTCCATGGGCATGATCATCTGCAGTGACATCGTGCGGCTGGAATACCGAGGCGTTTACCAGTCCTACATCAATCTTGTTCTGGGTGTAGGCGGCTGTCTGGGGCTTGCCGGGGGTGGATTCATCTGCGACCAACTGGGGTGGAGAGGAGCATTTGGCATCCAACTCCCATTCATCTTCGTCTATCTTCTTATCGCTCTGTGGACCACTCCGGCCGATCTGGGCCTGAGAACGCCCAAGTCGGAAAGAATGACTGCCTGGCAGCTCATCAAGCGCGTCGACTTGACCGGTTCCTTTATCCTCACCGTGGGCGTAACGGGCCTCATCATGGGTATTAACCTCGGCGGAAATGTCTTCAGCTGGAGCCATCCCCTTATCATCTCATCTTTGGTCATTGCCTGTGTGCTGGCCGTCGTTTTTCCGTGGTACGAACGAAACGTCGAAATGCCCGTCATGCCGGTACAATTGCTTTCCAAAACACCGCACGCGAATATCATCTTTGGCAATTTCTTTGGCGCTATGTCTGTTAATACGATCCTTTTCAATGTCCCGTTGTTCTTCCAGGCCGTGAAACTGGAGTCCCCGACCCAGTCTGGAATCCGTCTCGTTGCCGCGACTATCGCTGTCACCACTTCCAGCGTCTCCACGGGATTCCTGATTACTTGGTCCAAGCGACTGATGCCGACAATCATCATCGGCGGCGTACTTTTTGTCCTTGGAGGCTGTTCCACAACGGCCATGGCTCTTTTCGATATCCCGGACGCAGTGTCGATGGTCCTTCTGTCGCTGTCCAGTCTCGGGCAGGGCTTCGCATTCCCTACCATGACCGTCGCAATCCTTGCCATCAACAAACAGGCGGACCAGGCCGTCGCCACCACGACGTTGGGCCTCTGGCGAAATCTGGGGGCGGTGATGGGTGTCGCCATCAGCAGCTGGATCCTGCAAGACACCCTTCTCTTCCGCCTGGAGCAGATGGTCACGGAGCCCCACAAAGAGGAAATCATCTTGCGCGTTCGAAAGACGGTCGATGCCATTGCAGATTTGGATCCAATGCACCAGCGTCAAGGTATGTTGAGGTCTCGCCTTGACACCTCTCCTCCGGTTTCCTGCTCACTTCCCCTGACAACGCTGGTAAATAAATTCGTCACTAACTCGTTCCTCCTGTTCTAGTAACTCAAGCATATGCCAGTGCCCTCCAGTTGACATTTGTGTCCGCTGCCGTTTGGGGAGCTCTCATGCTTTTTTGCCTTCTTCCTATAAAGATGCCTCGACTGGACGAGAAAGGTAAACATCACGAGGACGAGTAAAAAAAAAACAACATGATAGACCATGGTATACGGTATATATTACGGACCTTGATGATTTCATGCTGAGCGAGCATTCTGGGTATGAGTCATGCGAAAAAAAAAAACTGAAGAATTATATAGACCATTGTGTCTTGACGAATTCCCCTATCTGATTGCAGTGAATGAGAGACGGATGCTAAAGAGATAGGATGCAGGAAGACATCGTTCAAAGTCGACATTGAAGTTCAGGAAGTGCGGTTTTTGCTTTCTTATGATGGATTGGCTGTGAAATAAAGATTCAATCATTTCTAGGCGTTTGGAGTACATGTGGATATGAGCAACGGATAGCAAGGGGGCAGCAACCGGCGCAGATTAAGGACCTGGGCGATACGTGTGCTGTTCATGCCCACCCGCGACTGTGATTATGGTTAGTTACACATAAACAAGCTTTATAGTGGTTTGAAGACAAAGAAAGTAGACTACCTAGGTACCTTCAAGTAGGCAGTCATTAGCGGGCTTCCTGACCATCATCACTGGTGTATCTCTTCCAATATGTAGTATGCTTAACCTGATTTTGCAAAAGCATGTGACAGTGTGCAATGACGGAACTCAATGGTTTTATACTCCATAGTAGAGGTGGTGGTGGTGATGATGATGGACAAGTCTCAGTTCTTAGGCGAATTGGCGAGAGAAGGCTGTAGACCAAATCTGCAAGCCTGTGAGGGATCGGGCTGTCTACATGTGATTAGGTACCTACCTACCTGGGTAGGCAACACATGCAGCTCTGTCGCTCCTGCTACCTCTCCTTTCCTCCACATCAAGATCCAACAGCTAAAGAGCAGTTGTCATTGACACCTCATTTTAGTGAGTTGGAATTCCCGACACAACTTCTGTCCACCGACATGTTCCGTATCACCCTTTACTTATAATGAATTTCTTGTGCTGATGATGAGATAAGCTACCAGAGCGTTTAAATCGAAAAAGAATGTCTTAACATGTGTACTGTCTAGATAGGTCTCTCTCAACTGGTTTGAAGAAAAAAAATAGTCTTATTACTTCCCGGCGGACTTCCCACCCATATTCCTCACCATATTCTTGCGAATAAGTAGTATGCTCACCCGTTTCTGCAAAGACATGTGACTGTGCAACAACGAAAGCTGATCTTTTTACAGCAGAGGCGATGATTGGCGCATCAGCGAAAGAAGGCGTGGCGGATCGACTCTGCAAGCGGTGACAGTTGCATGGATGCCCCTGGTGGTCCCAGCCGAAGCGCGGGGGAAACCGTCTGGCTCTGGCCTCGACTGTGGCTGGGCCGTCAGCTTAACCGCCCAGCAAACCTCCGCTGGGAGGAGTGGTCAGGGCGTCCAATCTGAGCGCAATCCGTCGATATCCTCCTCGATCTGATTATCGCGCTGTCCTGACCCTCGGATTCAGCTGGCGTGGGATTACGGCGTCAATCTCCTTCCGCTGGCGCATGATCCACCGCTTGCTGCGTCGAGGGAACCGGTCCCTATCACCGCCGTCCGCATCTCATATCGCCGTCTCTGCTCCGCGAATGCCCCACGTTGCGAAGAATCGCATTTCCAGCCCTTTTTTGATAGCGGATGATCGGTATGGTTTTTTGGCCTTGTCATCCCTCACGTCGTGGGCAAGCTCCCAGCGCTTTGGCAGCATCTGTCGCTGACACCACGAAATTGACGTCTAGAACGATACCCTCAAGCTGCTCTCTTTCTCTCGGGACAAGCAAGAACTATTTTCTCTGCGATCGCAATCCTCAGATGAGTCGACTCTGTGTCGGGTGACAGCAGCTGCAACGTTTTCGTCCTCGTTTCCGTGTCTCGTTTTCATCGCGGTCCCGCAGAATTCTCTCAGCTCCGAGCATAACCTTTCCTACCTCAAGCTTCTAGCTCGTTGTACACCATCATATCTGGTAATAATATAGCTGCGCTTGGACCTTGTATGGAGACGCCAGGGCTATTTTCTGCGCAGAGGGTGCTCTGAGGGCATCGTCCGGTCGCTAGGTCCTCTGCCGGAGTCTAGCATTATACCACGGCTGGGATGGCTTCTGCAGTGGGTGAAAATTCTCTTTCACAGTCTAATTTCGACGTATCGTTGAATCTGGAAGGTTCGGGCTCCAACTTCAGTGCCAACGGTATCCAATTGCACGAAAATCAATCGCCGATAACTTCCACGTCTACATCATCCAACACTCACTCACAGGAGACGCGCTCGAACGACGAGCGAGGAAAACGATCTCCAAAAGGGCCTGTTACCAGCTCACCGAAGCCCTCGAAACCTACTCCTGCCTCTGAAGTAGCAAAGCCCAAGCGGGTCCGGACCGGCTGCCTCACCTGCCGAGAGCGACATCTCAAGTGTGACGAAGCTCTTCCTAGATGTCAGAATTGTCAAAAGTCGGGTAGAATATGCAAGCGCGGTGTCCGGCTGAATTTCATCGATACCCAAACTATTGCCCCTCCTCATCACATTGCACATCCCCCGGGCACTCAATTGTCCTTCCAAGATGAGTCCCGAGAGATTGCCTCCGGGTATATCGGTGGCTTCGAGCGTTATCCCCCGTTGAAGGAAAGTCCCTCTGCCTCATCGAATAAGGAGGCAACGTCACAGTTTGATTTTACGGACGTCTTAAGTGCTCCTCTAATTCCTCGACAGACCTTATCCCCCTCACTCCTCCCATCATTCCCTGAGGCTCCCCAGGCAGAAATGTCGGACCCCATATTCAACGATAGTTCCTATTCTGGACCGCAGTCTACCTTCCAAGATCATGGTTCCTTTTCGCCCAAACCAACCATCCAGCCATCCAATATTCGGCCATGTTTGAATAATGCCGAAGAAGTCCTCTTGATGCAGGTGTTCATCGAGGAGGTCGGCCTGTGGATGGATTCTATGGATGCAAACAAGCACGTATGTTCGCCCACCTTCGGCGCTCTAGTCAGTTTCTAATTGGGTCTTAGTTCACTCGTATCTTGCCATTTCATGCACTTAACGAGCCTATGCTCCTAAACGCTTTTCTGGCGTGTGGAGCCCGACATCTTCACCTTGTCAATCCGTCATACAGCGAGGAGCGAGCACTTCATTATTACAACGCCGCATCAAGAGACCTCCTTGCTCTCTTACAAAATCCGAACCGTGATGTTGTGCTGTGTGCCACAACAGCAGTCGTCCTCAACGTTTACGAGGTCATGTGTGAGAGTGCCATGCAACGGATGAATCACATCGCCGGTGCCAGAGCTCTCATTAAGGAATGCCGTTGGAACGCCAGGACTCCTGGCATTGGTGGCGCCTGTTTCTGGCTCAATGTCGGCATGGAATTATTGAGCTGTCTTCATTTTAATTGGCAAATGGCATGGGATCCTGATACATGGGATATAGATATGAACATGGAACTGTCGCCTACAGGAAACCTTGTTGGAGATGAGGAGTTGTGGACGCACCGGATGGTATACATTTGCGCCAAAATTGCCAATTTCCGGGCGACTATTCCGCAGTTTCAGTCGCTGGACCGCAATACGCAGGAAATGCGAATTAATCAGCGATGTCAGGAGTGGAATACGTATAAGCGATGGTGTGACGAGTGGGCAAAACACGTCCCGCGATCCATGATGCCTCTTGGCTATCTGCAGCCCTGGCAGACCAATTCAGATTCTTGCTTCCCCGAAGTTTGGTAAGTTATCCTCGATTTCGAGATGATACTGTAAATGCTAACTCTGTGTGAAGGCTTATCAAACGCACCGCCATCGTCGCTCGGTTGTTCTATCATACAGCATGCCTCCTTCTTGCCAAGATCCATCCGCTTGAATCCGAATTCAGTCCAGAAATGCGTAGCATGCAGCAGAGTCACGCGCATGATATCTGTGGGATTGTTGCGCATGTGAAGGACAGGTAGGTGTTACTCTCCTTGGAATATGTGATCCAGGAGTTCACAGCTAAACAATCGCAGAGGCGTGGCTAGTGTTTCGATCCGCTGTTTGGCTATTGCGGCAGAGTGCCTGGTCACCCGGGAAGCTCAAGAGGAGGTTCTTGGAATTTTCGACAAGATCATCAAGGAGACAGGCTGGCGGGTAGGATTTCTCAAAGATGAACTCCATGAGAAGTGGGGCTGGAACAATCCTGCCCAGCAGCAGCAGCAGCGATCAGAACGACCGAATTCGACAGCGGACTCATCCATGGGCGGTAACTCGTTAAATGCGACGATGGGACCTGCATCGACGCGTCCAAGAGCCCCATCCGGGATCGTCAATCCGTTGATGGCCACTGCCGACTTTTCCATGGAGAATCATCCGTATCAGAATCACTACGTTGCTCCGCATACCCAGCTTGACAACTATCAGTACGGGCCATACTAGACCAGTGCAACCGGCAGCGACGTTCTTTCTGTCGTCACGCCTTCTTTATTCTATTTCTTGCTGTTGAAGCTCCGAACTTTTCTGCTTTGGTCATTGTCACGAACTGATATGAACTTGTTGCTATGACCTCGAGCCTGCCACGATGTCTGCGATCATATCTTTGTCTGGACGAAGCCGTCTTCATTGTCTATATTTCTGTCTATTGATATACCTTTCTTACTCTTCAACCGTGACTTCACTCTCTGGGTATATACTGGCGCACCTTGCTGTCTCACAGGAAGTCGATAGTTTGTCTGGGAATGTTTTTCAGAGGATGATCTATTGTGTGATTGGAGTAAATGCTTCAGTGTGGGAAGGTGTTCTCTTGGGATGGATGCACTGTAAACAGTGATTGATTTTTTTTTGGTATATATATACCTAGATAAACATGGGGAGACAAGCAGGTCACCCAGATTCCTTTTCTATTCTAGAGCTGGAGGTATGCAAACACTCTCATGCTGCGGTAGGCTGAGGCAGTGCTGCGGCTAAAATTATTGAAGGACATTCGATATAGGTAGAAACGGCCCGTAAAGGCCACGTAGCCAGTCAAGTGTTGTGAATACAGGTCAATCGACCTACCAAAATAGTTTGTCGACCTTTGAAGGCGTTCCTTCCCTTTCCATCAGGTTATGCGCCCTACCTCCTTCCAGAGCTAACAACACCCCCAATCGCTGGGTTATACGGCTTCCTCACCTACACCTACAGCACCCTAGGACAAGACAGCATCACATCCACCGCTTCCTACAGAGTCCAATAATGACATACAAAAATTTCAAAGCCTGGAGCCATCATGGCGCACGGCCCGTTAGGACGACGTCCTTTTATTTCTCATGCAACGCATGGAGGCAATGGAGAAGCGCTTCTAAACGGAATTCAAGTCTCTAGCCACTGGTATGACCCCTCCACCGACTGTTCCATCAAAAAAAAAAAGCTGCAGCCCCGTCCTCTACTATACGATATGAGGTTAGAGAACCATCTAATGCCAGACACAATGACGCAGAATCCTCCACAATCGCTAGTAACGACAGCAATGAGCCGTCTTTGCGGTCTTTTGTTTCTCGCTGTTTTGGTCCCCAGTGGCCATCATTGTGGCGAACCACTTGTCAGTTTGACATGGTTATTTCATGGGAAATATCTGTCTGTGGTTGACAAAGTTGCAGGACGGGCAACAGGCCCCAGGAGGCCACCCCTGCCCCTGAGCCAAAGCCAAAGCCAAAGCCAGAGCCAGAGCCAGAGCTAGAGCCAGAGCCTAAGCCAGCCTCTACCCCATCAGTCTCCGAGGAGGACAGCAGGGGGAGGGGGATGCGATGGTCCCTCGGGCGATCAATGAAGCGTCTCAGAAAGCGGATGCCGAGCTTTGGACGCCCAACTGGAACCCGTGACAGCCACAGCCCCAGTAACAAAGTCTGGTATGTGAGAGTAGTATAGCCCATACTGTACTTTCAGAATGGAGCTAACTGGCGTATGTAGATCGTGTTTGCATTGTCGTGGGAGCTTTTGCGCCATTCGAATGGTTGTGTCAACCGGCAGCTATCATTCATACTAGGGGTTCACTAGATAACCTAGGTTTTTCTTTTGTGCCCCAGTTTGTTTGACAGGTTGTCTGTGCCGGCTTCGTTATTTATTTTTATCTTTCTGATCTCCGGAAGCGGCAGCGAAAAACTTGATGTATTTTATCATTATTTGTATGTAGACTTATACATGAAACAATTATTTCATTGTTGGGGCGGGTGCCCCTGAACTCATCGTCAGACGTTCCCATATTGGTAAATGTTTGCCTCCTCTCTCGCTCTTTGTAGATATATCATGACGAGGTGACCATGATTGGAGGTCCTCTGGAAGATCTAAGCTTAATTTGTAACCCGGTCGGCACTGTGTAAGGTGCTTTGTTCATATTTTATGTCATGTTGGTAGGTAGAGTCATCTTCTGTCGTAATACTCCGGAGTACTGACGTGTAGAGACAACCCTTACCTTAGGAGTTGCCTAGATGGAGTTGCCTAGATACTGGCTGAAAAGATTTAATGCCATCCTTTGTAACTTCATTTAATACACTATCGACAACGAATTTTTTTCTTAACGACCTTTATATTGAGTTGCTTTGCCGTGCATGGTTCTGGCTAGCCACTGTGCTCTGTATCACCTACAAACTGTTCTCATCAGCAAAAACGAAGCAGGAGGACCAGGAATGGATACAAAAGTGGCAGAGAGAGGAGCGCAACCGAGATAAACTCCTCAGCACGAGATTTACCTTCTCGAAGAGATCAGTGCTCTAAATAAAAAGGCTGTCATGTCTGCCCACCTGAGCGAAACGGAATCCCAGAACCTGACCGCCATGGAAGAGGCAGTCATCAAAACCAGACAGGATCTTTGGCTGCACAAGCAAGCCCGCGCTAAACTTGCGGGCCAAATACCCAATAGTGGTCCCTGGGTGATGAGTTACATCGCAAGACGCGCCATATACTTGGAAGATTGGAGAGAAAACCGTAAATACTGCTACCTTCGAGGCGGGTGCTGTGAACGCGGATGTGGGTGCTGTAGAAAGCCTCGTCGAACAGACGCCGGGAAAACAACAATATGTTGGGATTTCTTCTGGGAATCGACCAAGTTTTCGTCGCATTGTACGGTGGAATGTGGTTGCTGCCGTCGGGAACGGGGTTTCAAGTTAGAGGACCAGCTTTTTTAAGGATCAGAACATACCATTCCTTAAATTAACAGTGAACATGTTAATCTTAGTAATTGATTGCTAGAGCCTCCTAGGAAAATGTTCCACAATAATATGGGATTTAAGGATCATAGAGGCTTCTAAGAACAAGGTTCTAGAAAATCTTTTCCAGAAGTCTATATCTGAAATAAATAAATAAATAAAAATGCAGTAGAAAATATCAGTGACTGAAACTGATTACTTGGATGTTATAATATGCACGTAAAAAGAGCATTTCAAGGTCTCCCTTCCCTTTGTGCTGTGTACAATACTTCTTCCAGGATAGCGCCAAGACCTTACCACCACCACACCTCTTCTCTTTCGCTTAGTCAACCCCGACAGACTTCAGATATATTTTAATCTGCGTTCTCCTGTCTCCTGCGACCATATTCGATGATGGCTAAAATGCAGAACGGCTGGTAAAATAGATCTGCATGAATGCATGGTGACTAGTTCTTCGCCATAGAGATACGATACGCTTGCCTTCAGTACATCATAATACCTACTACTACTACATTCATAGAAGAAAGAGCTAACTACATCCTACTTACCTGCCTATACCCATCCTCTTTTTCTTTTTCCTCTCTGGGCCATTCGTTAAATATCATATTGGGCATTTATTTGTATTCGATAAAAAAACAATAAATCATGACGACGACCGCTGAACAATCCTCCTCTTCTTCTCTTCACCCTCCAGCCACGCCGAGGTACATCCTCCGCGGCCATGCATCCCCCATCCACGCGCTGCATTTCTTTGGCCTGAATTCCCGCCTGGCCTCGGCTGATGCAGACGGATGGCTTGTCATCTGGGACGTGGTGACGAAACGGCCGCGAGTGGTGTGGAAGGCGCATGAGGGGTCTGTTTTGGAGGTCAAGGGTTTCTTCACTGAAAATGATGGCGGCGGTGGTGGTGGGGAGATGGAAGTATTTACGTATGTGCCCTCCTTTTCTCTACGCTTGTGTTTGTGTGGGATGTGGTTATACATTACTGACCGATCGATCTAGACACGGTAGAGATCACAAACTGCGCGTCTGGAGGATCACGTCCGCAGACGAAGAGCTGCTGGACAAGCGTCTCCCCGTCGAGAGGAGCAAGCAGAGTTCTTCTTCCTCGACAACAACCCAGCCGTGGCTGGTCCATTCTCTCGCTGTGAATGCGCTTAATTTCTGCGCGTTTTCACTCTGCTTTGTGCCGGAGATTCGGAAGAGTAGTTGTGTGGGCGACGAATCTTCTTCTTCAGATGATCCCGAACAGAAAGGGACATCATCGCCAACGGGCCAAAGAAGGCAGCGCAACCCTCTGTTGCTGGCTGTCCCCAATGCTCTGAACTCAGGAGCCGTCGACATTTTCCATCTCCCCTCGGAGAGACGTGTCTCGACCATTCCTGCAGATTCGTCCGTCCAGACAGGCATGGTGATGGCCGTCCACATCTTTTTCACCGCACAGGGAGACGACCTGTATGTGGTCTCTGGGTACGAAGACGGCCAGGTGATGGTCCACGTGCGACGGGGCCCTGGCCTCGAGTCTTGGACGTGGGAAAAGCTATACGCCAGTCGTCCGCACTCACAGCCAGTGCTCTCTCTCGATATTCCCCCGGGAAAGGAGCGAAAGGACTATTTCATCACCTCCTCCGCGGACGCCCTTATCGTGAAACATCCCATTCCACATATCACCAGCAGCAGCGCCAAGGGAAAGGCAAAGGCAAAGGAAGGAGAAGAAGGAGAAGAAGAGAAAGTACAAAACGCCCCCCTCAAAGTCTTGAACACCAAACACGCAGGCCAGCAGGGTCTTCGCGTACGATCTGACAACAAAATCTTCGCCACGGCCGGCTGGGACGCCCGAGTGCGGGTGTACTCCTGCAAGACGATGAAGGAACTAGCGGTATTGAAATGGCATAAGGAGGGGTGCTATGCCATGGCCTTTGCCGAGATCCTTGACAGTGGAGGTGGTGGTAGTGATGTTGAAGGAGATCAAGATCAAGACCAAGACCACACTTCTCCTACTGCTGCCGCTGCTGCTACTGCTTCTTCTACATCACCTGATGGAAAAGACCAAGACCAAGAAGAAGAAAATCGCCTTGATCTTGTTCCAGCTGCAGGCTCGCTGAAAGCCATACAGCAGCAGCGAAGCCAAAAGGCGCAACGGACACATTGGCTGGCTGCGGGGTCGAAAGATGGAAAGGTCTCGTTGTGGGATATCTACTAATTAACTTGAATTAAAAACACATCTATATACAAGTCGTCTGTCCTCAAGTGACTAGACAAAAAAAATTCTCTTCACTCCTTTTACTTCTGCTAGGCCAGATTGAACTCGCTGACACCACCCATCAGCTCCTTCATCTTGGCTCTCATCTTACTCGCTGCGTCTTCGCTGTTGATTGCGCGAGGGATATCGTCGTCATCGTCTTCATCAGCCCGGCCGCCAGAAGCAGCCTTCTTCCTCTTCTTGCCAGCAGCCGAGGTCGTCGCTTTCGCCGTTTTCCGCTCTGCCTTGAAATCCTTCTTCGTCTGCTCCTTGCCCGGCCGCAGGCCAGGCACGTTGATCTTGGACGGGCGATCCCGCAGCGCAAAGGCCTTGGCCAGGTGGCCCAGGTGCAGCTCCTTGATGTTGAACATGCTCCGCTCCGCGGCGACGTGGGTGGCATACGCGCGGATGTGGGACTGGTAAGCCCGGCGGGCCAGCTCGAGCGCTTGGGGATTCTCCAATGCCCACCGCTCGACCTCGAGCTGCCACTCGGTGGCTTTGGCTTCCCAGTCCTTGCTCGCTGCGTCGACGTTCCCGCCAAATCCGCGCTTCAGGACTTCGTTCGCATCCGTGCGAGACAGCGCCTTGCCTCCGTCCCGGTACCCACGCTTCAGGACCTCCACGTAGCCCTCTTCACACCCGGGAAGCAGGAAGATGAGCGCGCGACCGTCCCGGCCGAGACGCGCCGTACGCCCGATCCGATGCAGATGGTCATCCGCGCTGAAGGCGGGATCGTACTCGACGACGAAGTCGACATTCGGCAGATCCAGACCACGCGACGCGACGTCCGTGCAGATCAGGACAGCAGCATCCCGGCTGCGGGCAAAGGCCGACAGGGTCGATGTCCGGACGTGCTGGGGCAGCGAGCCGTGCAGCTTGTATATCGTGACGGGGTTCGAGGGGTTCGAGAAAGCGGTTGCAGGGGCGATTGTGCGATGGGAGGAGGTGATGGAGGAATTCTTGGATGTTTCCTTTTCTTGTTTTTTTTCCTTCCTTTACCTCCTTCTCTTTCTTTCTTTCTCCTTTTTCTTCTTCCCTTTTTCTTTTTCCTGCCCATCCTCCTCGCCCTTCTCCTCTTCTTCTTCGTCATCGTCGCTTTTGTCAGAATCTGTATTGATATTGGTATTGGCATTGGCATTGCCATCAGCACCAGCCAGTTCTGGCCTTGTAAATACTTCAAAATGAAACTCGACAGAGTCCGCGCAGGACACGAAGATGATGGCCTTCATGACGGAACCCTTGCGCATAAAGGTTCGTTTCATCAATGCCGTAAGCGTGACCAGGCGCAGCTTGGCTGCGGTCACCACGTAGGATTGCTTAAGTTGGGCGGGCACCTTAAAGGCCGTCCCTTCTCCGTCTTTCTTCTCCTCTCCTTCTCCTTCTTCCTCCTTCTGCTGCTGCTGCTGCTGCTGCGCCTCGCCGGCAGGATCGGGCTTGATGTGCACCGCGTCCTTCAGACTGATCTCCCCAAGTCGCTGCACGTTCATCTTCAACGTCGCCGAACAGAGCACCGTCATCCGCTTGTCCGGCAAGCCGATAACCTTGCTGGGTCGCTGCTTGGCATCCAACTTCTTCACGATCCCCTGTATCTCTTCCTCAAACCCAAGATCCATCAGTCGGTCGCCCTCGTCGAGCACGAGCCACCGCACGTTGCTGACGTCGAGCACCTGCGTATTATCCAGATGGTCCGCCAGACGGCCCGGTGTAGCAACCAGGATATTCAGCCCTTTCCTCAGTCGCGCCTTTTCCGACTTCTTCTTCTCCCCACCGATTACCGTCCCCGCGACGATCCAATGCGCGCAGCGAAGCAGGTTTTCCAAGACGACGGAGATCTGTTTGCAGAGTTCTCTCGTCGGCGCGAGAACGATGGCGAATAAGCCCGTATCTCGATGAATCATGCCATTTTTGCCCGTCCCATCGCTGTCGCTACTTTTCAGAGCCATGATCCTCTGCACCAGCGGCAGGAGATAAGCCAGCGTCTTTCCGGAACCCGTCTCGGCCTGGATGAACGCGTCGTTCTGCTCCTTCAGCAACTGCGGTATAGAACTCTTCTGGATCGCCGTTGGGGCCTTCAGCTCCATCTTCGTCATGAGATGGGCCGCCAGGGTCTGCGACAAGCCGAGCGCGGTGAAGTCTTCGATTCCGTCGAGGAGCGGTGCGTTGGTCGGCTTGATGTCCGTCGCATCGGCCTCTTCCCCTTCATGCTGCTGCTTGTCTGCCTCCGTGACCGTCCTGGGTGTCGGATTGGATGAGAACAGTGAGGAAATGACTTGTCGTGGACGATGCGCTCCTCCTCCTGCAGCTGCAGCAGTAGTCGTTGCACCGCCTGCCGTAGTCGTCGTCGAGGGCTTAAATTCCCCGCCATCAGTCTTCTGCCTTTTGTGCGGTCGCGATTCCGAGTCTCCTCCGCCTCCCCCTCCTCTCGTAGCAGCAACCTGGATCCGATTCGGATTACTACTGTCTGTCTTGTTGTTGTTCGGCAATTTCGACCGTCGCTGAGCAATCTTCTTCGCGGAGAGCCGGTCCCTCCAAGTTCCGCCTTTGAATTTCGTCGTCGGCTTGATGATGCCCTCGTCCGGGAGGGAGAAGTTCAGAAGCATCCCGTCGTCTGCCATGGTGATTTATGTCGTTAACTGTAACTTGGGTAACGTTCGTTTGATCGGTCGGTCACTGGCAGTTCAGACGACTAGAGGGGACGACAAAAAAAAAAGGAAGAGAGAGAAAGAGAGAGGAATGCCTTTGTGGCATGTGTCAACTGATAAATTAATTGATTGATTTTTTTTCTAATCTTAGAGATAGCAGGTAAACTGAGTCTGCGCGATAAAATTAATTTTAGCGTTTCTGGTCTGTCTGGAGCTTAAGCTGAGCTTACTTTGTTCGGCCTTAGTTCCTGCGCCGCGGAGGGAAGGAGGGGAAATTTTGTTCGGGCCGCCTGAATCGCCGAGCCCTAACGTTCTGCCCTAAGAATATACAACCAGCGATCAATAATGAATGATTACGAGAAAACAGTCAGTTACTGGAGTTAGGTAATTAAAATAATCGTATTTCTAAAACTTTTTGAAACAGCAATAAGCTTCTATGTAATGTACAGTACATGTTATGTGCAGTGTGGGTACGCCAAAACTGGTCATCTCCAATATCGTAAATAAAGCAGTGACCTCACCCATTCTGTGGCTTGAGGATGATGTTGTCGATCAATCGCACGGTGATCGTGCCTGAGCCAACCCCGGTATCCTCATCGGGTTGGGGATCCTCGATTGGCAGCATCTTTACCGCGCCACTCAAAATCGCTCCTTTGGACGGATCCACCACGTCGATCTCGTCCAGAGAGTCAGAGTCCGCAAGCGAGATATAGTCCACCTCGAATAGTGCCCGCTGGGAAGGTGGCAGGAGTTTCTGTTCGGCGAGGATCTGTGCTGTCACCTCGTCCGCAGCCCCCAAGATCTCTGCTCGCTGGTATTTGCCAGATTCATAGGCAGCCTGTGCAGCCTGTAACGCTCTGTAGAGGACCAGACCAACCGCCCTCCGTCGAGTTCCCAGGTACACGTTCCTCGAGCTCATGGCCAATCCATCTGACTCTCGCACCGTGGGACAAATCCGGACTTCAGTATCGATGTGGAAATCCTTCACCATACGCTGGATGATCACACACTGCTGAATGTCCTTCTGGCCGAAATAGACCCGGTCCGGGGTGACGATGTTGAAAAGCTTTGTGCAGACGGTGGCGACGCCTCGGAAGAAAACCGGACGGGACTTACCCTCCAGCTTCGTCGCAAGCGGGGTGATCGTGACAAAAGAGCCGTCCCCGTGCGGCTCCGACGTCGGGGGCAAGGTAGGATACATCACTTTCGTGGTGGGAGCCAGAATGGCCGTAACGCGGCCCTGCGGCGTCGCACTCCGCTTTTGCTCCAATTCCTTGTTGAGGTTTTCCAATTTTTCCACGTCCGAGTCCCACGTACGCGGGTAGCTCTCCAAATCTTCGTTGGCACCGAACTGGGTCGGGTTCACGTAGATGCTGACGAACACATCGGTATTCTCTGCAGCGGCTTGGCGGATCAGAGACAGGTGGCCCTCATGGAGAGCTCCCATGGTCGGGACGAACCCAACAGTCCTGTTCGACAGCAGGAGCTGGCGGCGGAGCTGGCGGAGCGGGGGAACATCGCGGAAGACTTGGAAGGAATAAGCACGGCGTTGCGAGGCATTCATGAGGGAGGGAGACGAGCCTGATCGTGGTATCAGCAGTGTGTCCTGGATTAGAATCGTCTGTCTTACTTGTAAACGGCCGCATCCAGCGCCACCACATCTTATGGAAAATTTCTGTGTTCTTTCGAATCGATCCAGAAAAAAGTAACACTGTGACGCCGTGGCTATGGCACTTTTGCGTACACCTCAGGTCGAGCCACTTAGCGAGCAGTGTCACCAGGGGACGCTCGATGCTGCAGGAAAGAAGAAGACGGAAGATCCCAGGCCCTCATCGCGAGTCAATGGGTGCAAACACTTGTTTGCTGCCGTGATGGTGACTGCAGCGTTGTCTTCATCCTTTGCTGCTCGGTGACGCGCGACCGCTGCCCGATCGGGAATGGCAGCGACATCCCAACTGGGTTAAGCGCGGCCGGCAGATGACGGGCAGTGGGCCGTCACGTGAGGGCGTGCATTCCTCGGCTCGGAGCGAGACTCGCAGCGTCCGGGGATCGCCGCGTTTGTTGGGGACGTTGACGGCGGTATGGGGGTCCGCGCTCCAGATACGATTGCATGCATCGAAACGCCTTTCCGGGGGAATCGCAGTCGTTTCTTTCCCCTGGCGGATGCCGACCTCGGTCCCGTCTTTGATTCTACATGGCTCTAGCGCCAATGGCATGTCCTGAGGACACCATCTGCGCACTACGCTGACACGCTTCGCCCTCTCTTCAGTTCTCTCCCATCCACATCGTCCGGTGGAACAACCCCCTGCGAAGATGGCGCCAGGAAAAGACGCGCTGGAAGCGGGCCAGACAGCTCCGGACCTGGAGATTGTGGGAAACCAGGTGACGATCCACCCGACGGGCTTCACCGGCGGTTCGGACACCCAGGATGACGGCATCACGGAGAGAAATCTCGTCCGGCACATGGCGCGCTTTCGCGAAAACCCCTTTGAATTCCTCCGTGAAGTGAGCCTCTTCGTGTCGGGAACGGGATGGCGCGCCTACGACCAGATCATCGGACAGCCGATATTCTACCCGGGTTTCTCGGACAGAATCAAGGGATTGATTCTGGAGAGCCCGATCCTGCGGAACAAGATCAGCGAGCTGGCAGAGGCGCGCTTGAAAGTGGAGGAAACGGAAGGGCTATTGGGCGCGACGCCGGAGGCGATCGAGAAAGCGAAGACTCGGCGCAGGAGCGAAATCGAGGGGAACCTACGAGAGGTGGTCGACACAATGATGGACAATATGATTTGCAAAATGGACAGCAATACGTTCATCAGAAGCGCATACTACCTATGCACCCAGCTGCTCACTCGAGCGTACCACCAGGGTGAGTACACGCTGTGCGCATTTCGATTGCCGCCATGAGGCTGGACTGATGGCCGCAGGGATTCATGTCTCAAGCGAGGAAGTCCTCCGCCTGAGGTCGGTGGCCGAGGAAGCGACCAAGAAAAAGCATTCGATTGTTTTCCTGCCCTGCCATAAGTCTCACGTAGACTACGTTTCATTACAGATAATATGTTACCGCCTCGGCATCGGGCTTCCCATTGTCGTGGCGGGCGACAACCTGAATTTCCCCCTGGTGGGGAGCTTCTTGCAGCATGCAGGTACGGGCTCTGGGGATTGCTGTGTTACCTGAACGGGTCGCGTTGACAATCGCGCAGGCGCTATGTGGATTCGGCGTAGTTTTGGAAATGATCCGCTGTATCATACCGTCGTCCAGACGTACATAGACGTTATATTGCAGCAGGGTTACAATTTTGAGTGCTTTATAGAGGGTGGACGGTCACGAACCGGAAAGCTCCTCTCGCCCAAATTCGGCATCCTCAACTTCATTGTCGACAGTCTTCTGTCCGGCCGGGTTGAGGATGCCGTCATCTGCCCTGTGAGCACGCAATATGACAAAGTGATCGAGACCGAGTATGGCTTCCTGGTTATGTTCTGTCGGCGGCTGTCCACTGACTTTCGTTGTGAACAGATCCTACATCAGCGAACTTCTGGGTCAACCCAAGCCCAAAGAAAACCTGGCAAATTTCCTGTCCTCCTCTTCAGTCTTGTCCTTGAAACTGGGCCGGGTAGACGTGCGCTTTCATAAGCCATGGAGTTTAAGGGAATTCCTGAATCAACAGCTAACACGCTTGGGGCAATCCCCCAGCTCGAACTCGAAGATAACGCTAAACCAGTCCGATCGGGGTCGGATCCTGCGGACGTTGGGATATAGAGTCCTGTCGGACATCAACGCTGTTTCAGTCATGATGCCTACTGCGCTGGTAGGCACAGTTTTGCTGACCCTTCGCGGCCGCGGAGTCGGCAAAGCTGAACTGGTTCGCCGTGTGGAATGGCTGTGTGAACGCGTCCGAGCAAAGGGCGGACGGGTGGCACATTTCTACCGGGCGCCCACCGCGCAAGTGGTTGATCGGGCCCTCGAAGTCCTGGGACCAAAGCTCGTGGGGGAGGTGACTGGTTTGGTGGAGCCAACGTACTATGCGGTGGACCGGTTTCAGCTCTCGTTCTACCGCAACATGACGATCCATCTTTTCATCACGGAGGCGCTGGTATCTGCGGCGATGTATACGAGAGTGAAGCAGGGCGGTGGTCCTGCGCATCAACGCATCACGTACGATGCTCTTCTGGCTCAAGTCTCATTCCTGTCCCAGGTCAGTGGTCCCTTGTATTCTCCATTCTCCGATTCAGTGGCCTGACCATCCTAGCTCTTCCGTGGCGAATTCATCTTCCCTCCTGAAGGCTTGACGGCCAACTTGGATAAGACTCTCCGCGGGCTGGAAAAGGACAACGTCATAAAGGTCACCCGAGATCCTGCGGGCCACCCAACCCACATTGAGCTCAGCGATGCAGAGCGCGAGTGCGGAAGAGAAAACTTTGACTTCTATTGCTTCCTGATCTGGCCGTTTATCGAAGCCAGTTGGCTGGGAGCGGTCTCGTTGATGGGACTTACACCTCCATTCGACGGGCCGTCCGATGTCTGGATCGACATGAAGAAAGCACAGGATAGCGCCCAACTGGTAAGGAAGATCTCTCTCTCTTTAGGGAGGTTGCGCCGACTGACAAAACATTATGATTCGTAGCTCGGGAAAACGCTGTACCACCAAGGGGACCTTTCCTACTTTGAAGCCGTCAACAAGGAGACGCTCAAGAACGCCTACCACCAGTTTGCGGAAGAGGGCATTATTTTGGTTGCGACAAGCAAGGAGCAGCGAACACCGACGACGATGAGGCTTGCTCCAGAGTGGACGCCAGAACGGGATCCGACGACAGGCAAGCTTCTGAACCGCGGACGCCTCTGGGACTTTACTGAGCGGATAGCCATGTCTCGCCGGGAGGGGTGAGTCAACTGTTGCCTTTATATCCGTTTCAGTGTTATCGGAGCAATTAACTAACTGATTCTCAACAGGAAAAACCGCCGGGACGGCGCCACCGTATCCTCTCGCGTCCTCGCCATGACCGACGCCGTGGGCCGAGAGCTGTTCCGCAACGCAGCAGCAAGCTCCGATGCGGCAGACTTGAACGTGTCGTCGCGCAAACAGCGACGAACCAGTATTGAGACGAGGGCCAATCTGTAGATAGATAGGTACATACCTGGCCTTACGAGTCTTGGCATGTGATCCAGCCTAGAACACTATACTATACACACTGTACACACTGTTTGAAACATATGGTTCGTCATTGATGTCTGTCTCTCCCATCTGAATCTGAATGTTGGAAGGGTCCATGTCCATGGCTGTGATTTGATTCAATTTCAATACCCATGCATGTGAGAGTGAATCTTTATTTATGTGAAGTTTTTTTTTGTTGTTGTTTGTAATGTAAGTAACGCGCACACATCCTCGTACAGTTTCGTTTCTATTCCCCTTTTTTTTCACTTCAGGGTCAAGACAGCGAGTGATTGCACTATATTGATGACTTCAAGATTTCCCAATACTCACATTTTTTGCCAAATAAGGAAAAATGACCGCTACCTAAGCATCTTTATTGGCAGTCTAGATCTTGGCCTTGACCACAACATCCTGCTAGGCCTCCGTCACAGCCTGCCAGTGTTCCCGTGGATATCGCTTCACGTGAGCCACATGGGAGGATTCGTCGAACTTGACCCTGCGCACCGCTGACCCACGCTCCTCGGCTTCTGCAGCATGGCTCTCGATCTCCTCCCAGGGACAGATCTTGTCGGACACGGAATAGATGTACAGTCGTTCCGCCGCGGGGTCGATCAGGTGTCTGTTGCTGTTGAGCGATCGTCTGGCGAGCGACAGGGAGTTCGCCCGTCCCAGCAGCAGCTCTGGGACTCCCACCGTCGCTATCAGCCACATCTGGCATGTGAGCTGCACGAGGGTCTGTATCCCGGGTAGCCGGGTGATCGGGAACGCGGTCAGGATCCCGACCGACATAGCGCGAGCCCATCGCCCGGCCTCCGTCACGAAGTGCCCTCCTGTGGGCGCAGAGTCCAGGACGAGCAGTGTGTGCGGCAGCGGTCGCACAAACACCGCGTAATACACCGCGCAGGTGGCTTCGAAGTTGACGAGGCCGCCGCCCGAAAGAACGTGGATGAGAACTCTTTCCTGTCGCTCGGGTTGGCTTCCTTGTCTTCTGTATGAGATGATGATGACGACGGTGACGATGGCGACAGCAGCGCAACAACGGGCGACATCGCAGCGATAGCGGTCCGTCTAGAGTTGAATATCAACTCTTGCGACGTGGACAACACGACGATGATCCTTGCAGCAGGGTAGAATCTCTTATATTCCTCCGTGAATCTGACAAGGTGACGCAGCTGTCCATCGGCAAAGGCAAAGATGACGATCGTGGTCGGAGGAGGGACGGAGGAGGGACTTTGCTCCGAAGAATATGGCTGGGACGCAGGCTCATATAGGAAGATCTTGGGGGTTACGGGCTTGAACCCAGCGAGCTGCTTGGAAGCTTTCTCTGGAGGTCGATCATGACTGTCATGACTATTATCCATCTTGCCTGGATCTGAGGTATTCAAATCTGCTGGAATCAAGAGTTCTGGAGCACTCACATGTGTCAGTAAGCTATTAATTAATCTGTCCAGCTCATCCCATCCCCGCCAATGTACTCAGGCTCATATAGTGGCCAAAAAAAAAACTTTAGCATCATCGTTCAGATTCCAGGGGCTCCTCCTCCAGTAAGAATACACCGTGTGGAGTACCTGCAGCACAGATCATTGGATGTTCTTGTTCTTGCTGATCTACTTGATCTGATCTGCAAGATACCTACCACGGTGGAGAGGCCAAAACATTACTAAACCCGTCTCAAGAATAAATCCTGCTTATTCATCATCATCATCATCATCATCATCATCATCATTTCAATTTATAGTCCGATCTGTCAGTCGCGGGCCAATTGCAGACTCATCAACCTATATAGATAGTGCCATCCTTGTATAAGGAGGCTTAGTAAGAACAGAATTTTTTCTTCAGCTGATTATTCAGATGCCAGAGCTTGCAGTTGCAAGGACAAGTCAGTCGGGCCATGTTGTCAATTGGGATCCAGTTCTTTGTCTGACGCAGGTCACCGAGTGTGGCTGGCTGAATTCACATCATGGATATGGGCCTGGGCCACATGAATGAAGTTCATGAAATTATTCGCGAACTCTGAGATCGGCAAGCTGTTTCCCCGTTTGGGTCCCGGTCCGGGCCGCCTGAGTTCGGGATATAAAACCCTCCAATCAGGATCCAGACTGATGATTTAGTCGTCGGCATTTGAATTGGATTGAATATTCTCCACCAGTTCTTCCATAGTATAAACTCCGCTAATTGCTGGAGCGCAGCTAAAGGCGCAAGTCATTGCTTGAGCATTGTGGTCGTGAAGTTACTTCTGGATTCAGAGGCAGGCCTTTGTTATTCAGACTGCAATTGAGAACCCCTCTTCCATGATATATGATCTGCCGACACACGGAGACACCAGTCCGTGAAGTGTCCGGATTTCGAAGCGTAACGAAAAAAATCCGATGACCTTGCCGTTTCCATTCCAGATTGCGGATGGGCATACACAGTATGCCATCCTCGAGCTGTTGGCTAGATTCTTGCCCTAAATAATGCAAACGGACCCTGATGCAGACCATCATCACTTAAGACCCGCAAGTTCGAGTGCGGACCACAGGTTCTTTCGGCATAATCCGTAAACGGGTTGTCCATGTAGACTTAGGTGCCTATCTGGGTCTCATCTGCCCGTGCAAGTTTCCGAAGCTGCACAGAGTCGCCTCCGACAGTCGTATTCTCAAATGTTTCGTTAACGAACTCCAGCTTTTCATGCAATTTTACAATTGCAACATCAGTGCGCATGATTTCCATGTTGACTTTGCCAATCTCTTTGCAACCAGCGAGCGGATGAAAGAGCCTATTATCATGCGGGAAACCATGCGAGACAGCAGTCATATATCGGTTGTAAAGTCTATCCTGGACTATTAGAACGCCGGATGATGTGAGAGTCTCCTGTGATTGAATCCTTCCAGAACTCAACATGATTCCTGGACGTAAAACATCATACTGGCCGTTGTCGACGGCACCGCCAGTGGGTTGACGGATTTGCCTGGCCAGATAATTTCGCGGACGATCCATTTCACTTTCGAAGGCATCATCCATCCTCTCTGGAACATTCCTGCCGTCGATTTCCGGTGAAATTCGAGAATTGTCTTGTGTGGGGACGGACTGTCATCATTTGTGTCAGTTGTGAAGTAGGATGGGACGTCTGCTGCGGTCACTGGCCATGGATTCGGTGGTAGGGTTTGGAGACAGAAAATCAGGAAATAACTGTCAGCGGCGACAATGCCCCAGGCGATGCCATGGTGACTGGTGATGCTATGTCGAGTCAAGAAACTAAGATGAGAATTTGGAGAGATAGGGGAAACAAAAGAAGAGTGGAGAATCTGGACTTGAAAGGGCAACTGCCAGAGAATTCACCTTCGGGTTGTTCATTCCCTTCCCGAGTTGACCCGTGACTGGCGAGCCAGGATCCTCTGCTCACCAGTGCTATTCACTACTTAGCCACATCATCTAATATACTGGCCTTCAGCAGCCACCTACTCCGCATAATCTGGTGAATTATTTGTGCTTTATGATATACCTGGGCAGATACAGTTCCACATGGCAGGTGCTATTAACCAAACATCTAGTCTGCTCATGCCATCAGAGTACATGTGATATGATTAGAAACGACGACCTAAGACATGGCCTGCCTCTGTGCATATAGCCAGCTATTCAAGATAGATGAGCTAATGTATTCATATAGAAACAACAAGATTGATAGTCTGTTTGAATAGACTAGTCTAGGTGATAGGACAAAAGACAGTTGTAGAGAATATCGAAACATAATGGGTAGGCTGACTGAGGAACTAGGAGTCGATCAGGTTCTATCGCGTTGTTTTGTTTCTGGTGTCCCTTTTCTTCACGCGTGTGCTCGCTTTGTTTTTATCGTGCCTACGCGCTGACAACCCAGACCTCTCCACAGTGAACGAGCACACCACGACTGACGACTGACCTCACATCTCTATCGCCCCAGCACAAGCACGCCCACGCCCATCTAACTTGGGCCAACGATGATCGAAAATGCTCTTAGAGTTCCCCGTAGAGATCGTTGATATAATCCTCGCAGAGGTAGTCTCGTCAGTCCATCTGAAGTCATAGCAACTAACTAGATATCTGTGCAGGTGACAGACAGAAATGATCTGAAGAGCTTATGTGAAACTTGCACAGCTCTCTACAAACTTGCTGTTCCATTCTTGTACAAATCAATCACCGTGAGGGCAAAGGATGAGCTATCTTTGCAGAAGATCGACGTGGAACCATTTTTGCGAACCTGCCACACCCCGATCAATCGCCTTAAGGGTGTCAAGGCCCTTGAAATCACCTCTCAGTTCTACACGAAAATCGGCGACCGGTGTACGCACAGGGATGTCGGAGGTTCCCAGTATGAACTAGTTCAGAACTTGATGCCTCTGCTGAAGGAACTTAAAGAGGATAGTCTACGAAGCTTTACGTGAGATATGCCCTTCCATTCCCTCAGCCTTATTCTAGAACTGACAGTTTAAATCAAGCTGGGACTTGGGCACCTGTATCCCACCCCAAATTCTAGGCCCCTTTGGTCACCTTCCACTCAAGCAAAAGGGCATTGAATCCATACGCCTGACCACAGACGGCGCGTGCGAGTGGAATCTTTACGGCAATTGTCTTATAGACTTGTCGGAATTCAAGAATCTCAAGAGCCTGTCGTGGAGTGGATTGCGTTCGGAGAATGACTTTAGCACGCTTCACGGCGCTTTACAGCAATTCTCGAATCAACTCGTCGAGCTTGACTTGGATCTCATTGACTGGAACACAGTAAACTATTTTTTGATGGACCAAGATGACTCGAGGGACTTCTTTGTCCGAAGGATCCTGGCAATTCCCCCTGGTGGCAGAAAAGGGATGTTTTCTGCTCTACAATTGCTTTCTTTGTCAGGAGTTTCCCTGATCGACTTCCCAGAGGAGATTACCGAGGCATTCGATTTCAAGACGCTTCGCTCGTTGAAGCTACGTCTGTGTCCTGGCTGGGATGACTTCTTACAGCATGCCTGTCAATCGTGTCAACCGATCGCTCTGAAGTCGCTGGAAATCCAGATTACTGACGATATTGAGGACAACTTCCGGGACACAATCTCAGAATTCCTGGAGTCATTTGAGGGTCTTGAAAAACTCTTCATTTCTACCAATTCGGCCAGAGATCCTCTGGACCTTTGGTACGCAGCACTTCACCACAAGTCCACCCTGCGCAGATTTGTCCATCACGTCAGAGGAGGAGCGAGCGAAGACGGGTTCAGCTATGAGGATATGGACCGACCTGATCTATCGTTTACTCAGAAAGAAATCAAGTCGTTTGGTGGTTGGTTCTTAAATAACCCTCTTCATAAGCTCGATCTCGAATGCATCGGCTTTTCTTGTCGTCCTCAGTATTTGGTATGGAAGCCCCACGCCAGAGACTCACTCGTAGTGTTAAGTCAGCTAACAGTTGCAATTAAATTTTCAAACAGGAATCTCTTATCATTCCATTTATGCAAAAGCGCACGTTGAAAGTGTTACACATACGGCAATCAGGGCCAGATCTGGAAAACTATCCGAGCTGGGCTGTACAATGTGACTATTTCGGCCCAGACTCGGGTCTTTCGGAAGAGGAAGTAGATCCAATTCAAACACCATCGGAAGAAGAAGACGAAGATCGTGACAATGATGGCATGCCAGGACCAAGCAAGCACAAGAATAGCAGCAGCAGCAGTTCATCGTCCGACGACGAGTCTCCGAAACTCAAACGCAAGTTCCAGGACTTCGCCCATTGGGCATTCGGACCTCACGGCATCTCATCGCTTCGTATCATTGCCTTCGGCGACTTCTCCTACGGAGGACGATACCACCAGCACAACATCCTGCTTTGCAGAAACACTTCCCCTGGGTATTTCGGTCAGAATTTCCGCCACCTTAACCAGGAGGATCGAGAGCTGTGGGATCTCCTTGAGGAATACTCGGATGTTCTCGAGGCTTGCCCGACTGGTAACCTTTTTGAAGACTGAGAGGATGAAAAGTCTCTGTGGTGTGGCGTGGTGTCGGCAATTGTTGCTCTCTGACTTTCTTTCCTCTAGCGTCCTCACCAGTTTGTTGGCCAGGTTGACCAGGTTATTCAGCCTGCGTGTTTCATTAAACCGGATTGTTCGCTTGATGAGACTGTATTAACCAATTGCTGATTTCTATTCTGCTGTTGATGTTTTGATGTTTCTTACAAGTAGAATCTATCTACCTGAGAAATCGCTGCCTGAATACGTGGTTTTTGATGCCTTTTTTTTTTTCCCCGTAGCCTTTGCACATCCCCTTGACGATGCTCGCCGCCATAACGATGGCCACTGAATTACGTGAACGGAATCCCAAGGCTGAAACTAGACTCCCAAGATCGAAATTGACGTTTGTTGGAAGTTGATTTCTTGCTTCTCACGTCCCCGTAGCTTGCAGCTGCCAGAATAAAGGCGCCTATCTCGGGCTGTCTATTCCCATCGCCCCATTTCGACAGGTGGCCTCCAAATACAGATAGATCACCGAGGAACCTCCCTCTACAGATTCTGCTTGTTCTTTTCATTCTTTACCTCTCAATCCTTCCGCCTTTTTTTCTTCTGTGTGTTGAGCTCTTTCTTCGCCTGCCTCGTATCTCAGTATTATCTCTCTTTCAGCTATAGTGGCAGGTTTAATCCTTTTCATTACTAATATGCCTAATTGCTGCTGTGCACCTCTGCCTGATTAACGAATAGTTTTGCTAGACTAGTAAAAATATAAGGAGCTCTTGCCAATTAAGAGAAGTAAATATGGATGTTATATTACAATCTCAGTTTGATCTGGAGACATAGCTAGACAGGTCTTACTATATATGTCCGTCTTCTTGAGACCGAAGTTCTAGAGGGTTGAGAAGGCGCATTCTCGACGCGTGGGTGGTGGTGGGAATCAACAGGATCGCATGTATTAATATAATAGGGCGGTTGCACATTCATGGGGGCGTAAATTTTGGCAAGGCTCTCCCACCAAGCAAATCCATGGGATCCCTGTAGCACTGCCAGGGTAGTGTTGTTTACGAAAAAGACTTTTTTTTAACGCAAGGCTGACTTCTGGTTAACTTTCTTTGCGTTCAGGACATCAGTTTTGACTATACAGGAGGATGTCCATCTTTCCAGGACCTGTGACTCTCTGTTCTATTAGATATCCATTCACACCTTGTGACCACTGAAGATGTCTGAAGATCTATGGGAAGCGAAAGTTTGAGACTTTGCAAAGTCCGGCTTCCATGACGGCCAATTATGGATCCGGGGGGTGATTCACTCCCTAGTTGCGAGGAATACCGCTCATTTACACCAAAAAGACTCTGCCTTTATTATGTCCATTGAAGACTACCTTGAAAGGTGTCAAGTGGTTGGTTCTCTTATATCCCCAGACAGTGCTTATGCTTTCGATATCCGGAAGGACAATGCGATCGTTTCGATCCGCGGCTGTCCTCGCCTATCGCTTATACAGGAACTGGGAAAGAATCTCAATATCCAACCAGAGCACCTATTAAACCATCTTACTTTTCCGGATTGTTTTCAAATTCGCCCTCTGAAATCCCGGCAACACTTGTCCGTCGTGGTGCGGATGGTGACTTTAGGCCAGTACGATGTGGACGGCGACACGAGTCCCTCTGCCAAATTAGAACAAATCAGGGTGGATCGTCGCACAGAGGAGCACAATAGAAGCTTGCTCCAAAAAGGCAGCCCTGGAACTGAGCAGTGTCGCAAAGTGAATATTCATGGGTTAGACTACTTTTCGTGGAACAGCAAGTCACCTTCATCCCCTACGACATGGCGGAGCATTCCTGGTCAGGCATCATGCTAAACGACGCCAATCCAGCCAAACAGCGCCGTGGTATGCTCTGAATACCAGGGCCTCACCGCAATTCTTCCCCATGACTCGTTTGGGGACTTGTGCCCTTGGTCGATCGAACGGTGTTGATCATGCCAGGGATGGAGAGCTCGGCGAGCGCGAATATTTCGTTCCTGACCCCTGTGAATCGCGAGCCAGCCGGGGTGAGTCCATGAATCCGACTGATCGAACCTTGTGTCTCGCGGACCCTTTTGTTTTTCTCAGCGACCTTCTCGATACGTCTGCACTCTGTTGGACGAGACTCCTCAGCTTCATGGAATAGTGACTGAACATCGGGACGTCGACGCCGAAGAGAGGGTTGATATCCTACGCAACGATAAACAAGTCCTGGATCGTACGGATATGTATTTCAGCACAGTAATAGAACTGATCGATCAACGCAAGTCCCTGGGTTGGCCAACGTGCGCCACACAGGACGGTCAGAGGAGAGTCGAAGTCATCGCTAAACGTCTGAAGGGGGATTTCGAGCAGCTCCGATCGCGCGCCAGGACGCTGTCGGAAATGCGTACCCAGTTGATCCAAATCGAAATGAATACTATCAGCATCCTGGAGTCAAAGAAGGGGCTCCAGCAGGCCGAACGGGTTGGTCTGTTAACATTCCTTGCCTATGTGTTTATTCCGTTGACCTTTATTTCTTCGGTTTTTGGAATGAATGTTACTACGTTTACCAGTCCCAATCCGCCCTTGTGGAAATTTTTTGCCTCGGCGATACCCTTTACGTTGATTTGCTTAATGATTCCTCTCTGGCGAGAGATTCGCGATTTGTACAAGATTTTGTATAATAAGGTCCAGCTGTGGCGTGGATTTCGTGCGACTGATTACTGATTATCTCGTTGTCCCTACTTGATCGCATGGTTGGTCTGTCGCTATTGGATTTGTGAATTTTCATTATGTCTTGACAGTCTTGATTCATCTCTGCAGCAAACCTAATGAGACCCAAAGTATCCCGAACTCTATTCAACAATCTCGTAGGCTATTGCCATAATTTGCATTCATGTATCCTACCTTCACAATTTGTGCGGATACTTTAATTGTCAAGCCTCACCCTCGGTGAATGGGGGCGACATGGCGATTGTTATCGCCCAGAGCGAATGGTCGGGGGCCCAGGGAGCACCCTCGTCGGCCAACCAGCTTTCTCGAGAGCTCTTACAGCAATTTGGAGAAGCATTAGGTCCGAACCTAGATGGGATGTTGTTAACTCATATTGTTTCTTCAGCCCCCGCCATTCGGTCTTTGTTTGCTCACCTGGAGCTATCGAACCGACGATTGGAAAATATTCAGTTCTTCCGGAAATTCTTGACTCATATGGGTTTTGACCAACTGGGGTTAACGAATGAGCATTTCACTTAATTTGTTTTGGCTCTCTCTCTCTCTCTCTTTCCCCCCCCCCCCTCCCCTTTTCGAAAGACTGAATGATTTTAGTCTTTGGAAAGACCTTGACGTACTTGGTATTACTAATTGAGGAAGGCCCAGCATAGAGGCGAAGAAATCCTCATCGTATCCACCGTACCAGGCAGGTCCAGTGCTAGTGTCGACGTTAGCCGGGGTACAAAAGAATTAGATAATGAAGAAAATGCACTGTGCTCACTTCTGTGGTGGGACAATGTCTCGATAATTAGGCCCCGGTCGGCCAAGAGGGAGTATCATAATAGCCTCAGATGCTCCAGATGCGTCTCTGGTGAGAATGTGAGCGTCGATCCAATTCTTAAACACCTCCGTTTCTTTGTCTGCTTGGGCTCTCTGCTCTTTGGTTATTTTCGCACCAAGTTCCCTAATAAATAACATGTCAGAATTCTACACCGTTTCTGCATGTCTAAAGATCGGATAAAGATGCGATTCAGGATGCAAAAAACTGACCATCGTCTACTGTGATACGGGCTAACATATCGTGTCCAAAAAGGTTTCGATGTTCTTCCCGGAAGTTGTCGAATGAGTGGAATCCATCATGGAGGTTTACATATTCCACCGTCTACATGCTGTCAACTAGGAGGCTCTGTGATTCGGAGAACTCACTTACGTTGTTGAGATAGTCCGTTAGAGGTGTTGCCCGTAGATCTTCCGGGGCGGAGCGTGTCCATTTCTCCTTGAGGGAGATTTTGGTGTGGGAGATACCGAGAAATTCTTCCAAGATACCGATAAATTCTTCCGTCATTTGTTGCTGTTTAGGATTTGGGTACGGGAACCAGTCGGTGGGATAGAGAATCTTCTTCGGTAGCTGTTTTTGTACAAAAAGAATTAATTCTGCGGTCTGGCATTTTTCTAAGGGGAGGGGGGAACATGCCTCCAGGCCTGTGGGCGCATGCAAGCCAGAAGAGAGAAGAGCTTGACGGATTTCATCGGCACTGCGTCCCAGAATGCCGAATGTGTCCTAAGGCCTGTATACCAGTCAGTGAGAAACTTTTTACAACGCCGCTCATGAAACGCTCACGGAGCATTGGGCACCATTTCCTCCATGGGCAAGGCATTCCAAGTGACCCGGAGTCCCCAGACTCCGTGAGAAGCTGCTGGCATTCTCATGCTTCCGGTAGCTGTTTGACGAAGCTTAATTAATGTTGACTGTTCGTCCTGAATTACAGATAAAACTCACTATCGGTTGCAAGGCTCAAGTCCAGCCAACTGTATCCTCCTATCCTCACCACTTGAGCTGCCTGACGGGCCTTGGTAACCATCTGTTCTTGCATTCCAAGGAGGAAAGTAATCGATGCATTTTTCAGGTGGTATCTCGGCACCAGCATAAGCAGAAAGTTTCGTTTTCCGTACAATAATGGCGCCTTGATCGATTAGTTGCTTGACGAAGCTGGAGGTCACCTTTTGCACTCCGTAGCAAGCAGTATAAGATCGGCTGCCGAGGGTAGTCACAATTCCATTTAGATGCATGTTATCTTTGATTGCAATTCTCATCCCGTTTAAAGGTCGTTTGTCTGTTTTGGGATAGTAGAGACGTGATGGCACTGCTACGACTCTGTGCAGTCCTGTGTAAGCGGCAGCCTTCAAAGGCTCGAACCTGACAGATCATGAGCATTTAAGTTCAGATTCGGTGGCAGCTACAACGCTCTCACAAGTATGGATCATCACTGGGAATGACCGACGACACGAAGGCTGCTAGACTGTCTTCATAAAGTCTCCAAACCTGATGCAATCCTTGCCGGCTGGCAAAATATGGTCCTTGAGGCAAAACGTCTTTCCCCTCTGATTTGTCGACAAAAAGGAGCGTGCTTGATCTTATCTTGAGATAGTCTTGGACGTCATCGGGCAGAGTTGGTGTGGGAGTTGCCGAATGCAGCATTGGATCACCAGGATGTTATTTATGAGAAATTCCGTGGAAAACACATCGTCTTCAACGGCAAATCGAGAAAAGGAGTTTTCCAGAAAGTCTACAGAGACCTTTGGGTTTTCTGCATGAAGTACGACAGCTGGAGTTACGGTTTCTCTCTCGCCAAACTGTCTTGAGAAATCGGAGTGAAAAGGTTCCTGTGGTCAATCTAGCGTTAGTTTTCACTGGCTGGATATTTTTCTAATACTGGGAGACAAACCTCGACCCTACTCCTAACAAAATAGGCAACGGATCCCAACTGAGCAGTAATGCTTTGCTGAAGTGACATTTTGGCTTTTGATGGCGGTCTGTGGCGCGAGGAAGCTTTCGAACTAAATCGTAAACAGGCAGAGAAGGACGATGCCAATGATTTCATCAACGAATTTATCTTGGCCAAGTTCATCTAGAGTGAATAGATGGTATGGACATTCAGGATGATCCCACCCTCGTTTCCCCGCTGCTGTTTGCCATCACATCACTTCGATTAACGAGTAATATTTATCAACCATTTGATACTGCTACATTATCAACAAATCAAAGTTACAGGGCAAAGCCGCGAAGCAGTGTGGGGTAAGTGATGTGGTGAATGGCCACGGCTGAAGCCTTGCGCCCCCCTGGCAGTTACACACTGTGTATCCTCCTGATCTGTGTGCAGGGCCAGCAAGGCTATTGAGGCAGGGTCGTACATTCTGTTTCGCTGCTTTAAGCGCCTGGGGTTGGGGGGGGGGTAAAATTTGCATTTATCTGCTAACAAAGCTCCTTTTGTAGTCTGACTGCCCGGCATTGATTTATTGTGTCCATAAGGATATTGCCGACAGGAAGTGGAATTGATATCAGTCAGACTAGGGGTTCACTAGATAACCTAGGCTTTTTTTGTGCCCCAGTCTGTTTGACAAATTTCCTAGATATATACGGCATTTCTTTGTTTATATGTACGCTTTAGCTGCTTCTAATTTTGATAGAGCAGCAGGTACAATACATATTACACTGCTTTTTATTCAGGTTATATATATTTCTGCATTCATAAACAAGAGCGACTCATAACAATATTTATTCTTCCTTTGTTTGTATCAGTAACTTCTAACTAACACGTAGACCTTACAAGTACCCAGCTTCAGTTTGATATCCTTGAATAATAGGACCTTGAGTTCCTGCTGGAGTAAGCCATACGATGTTAATTGAAATAAGGAGCCGGTTTAGGTAGGGCGATTACAGTCTGTTTTTTTTTTTTGCCTGTCCAGAGTCCACCAGTGTTTTCACGTACCTAATGCTTTGCTAATATCATCACATTATTGCTAAAGCTGCTTATCTTCCCTACATATTGACCCTTGGAGATTTTCAGACGTAAAGTTGTCATCAGGGCTCATTTTATCAATGGGAGGAAGACAAAGCTGGACGGGTGCGATGACACAATCATGACTGGGCAGTCCAGCAGACAAGCATCTTTAATGGTCCCCTCACAAAAGTCTGTAATTTTACCCCTTGTTTCAGCAAGATAAACATCCTTTCTTGTCGCTCATTGAGCACTCTGGACGACGGATACCTAGATGGGGACCTTGCTGGCACTGAAACCTACACACGACATATAGTACATCCTGTCCGACCACAACTTGGTGCAACAGTAATCCACAGCCCCTCATCTCCAATCCGAAAACAGCTCAGCTGTGCCAGCTACAAATATTTGAGCTATCCTTTTAGTGTCTAGTCTGCCTGTGAGCCGATTTCAGACAGCCAGTTGTTGCAGTATCCTTTAGCATTTTTGTATCAGCAAGACCGTGGAGAAGAAATCCCAATGCCAATTCCGACTGAAGTTGTAGGCTCATTGCCTCGTCCGACATGCACGTAGCCCGATATCACTTCTGTGGATTCCGAACTTGCTGATCGATTGATTGACTCTTGGCAGATCTCCAACAGGCGTATGCGGATTACGACGCCGGAAAGATCACTCGTGCCGAACTGGAGTCTTATCAGGACAGGGCGGCAAAAGACTCGGTGTCGAGGATGGAACAGGCTGGCGAAATGTTTGTCACTGATGGAGAGCAGAGAGCGAGTTCGTAAGTGGCCGCAAATCAATCAATTGAATTCAATCAGTACCTGGTACTAAAAACTGGAGCCGTAGATTTGCTACCTACCCTCTGGTAGAGTGAGTCGGCACGTTGTCTTGTGAATGGAGATTTTGTCAGGCCAACTGATGACGACAAGCACCTTACAGGGCACAGGCCTAGCGGACAACCTGGCAGGAGATGGACAATACTTTGTAAGTCCGTAACTGCACCTGAGCATGACCTGGTAATCAATCTCACAAGCTTAGGCATTCTTTGATGACGGGCATCACAGACAGCTCCCTCGCCTTGTCAAAGGCCCTTTCAAGTGAGATTGATAATACGCTATTTCCAATTTCCAAGCCAGAAATTGCAGCTCATAATAGATCACCTAGATACAAAACGTACGCATTTGACAATTTCAAAAAGTCCAAGGGCTACGCGAAAAAAGGCGCGATGAAACAAGCTGTCATTTCTCCCAGCATGCTCTATTTACTGTATCCTTTGAACGGGGAGGTGGAAGGGTATCCGAAAGAGCGGTTTGTTCACGATCTCGTCAACGAGGTGAGATTGTCTCGCTCTTCTTGTACGGCACGATTGCGACGTCTTCTCTAAGTGTATAGTGTGAGAAAGATATTCGCGGATGTTTCGAGGCTGGGGCCAAACGTGTGTCTATTGACTTTACGGAAGGCAAGTTTCCCCTAGGACGTATATATATGAGATCGATGACGCTGAGCTCTTCGATCAAGGCCGGCTTGCATTGAAAAATGATCCGCGTAATCCGTGGACCGGAGCTGCCCTCTTAGACCAGTTCATCGAGCTTAATAATTTGTACTAACCCATTCTCTATTGCTTCTCTTCTCTCTCTACGTTCTCACTGACATTCAAACCCAGAGTCCTAGACCGTTTCACAGCAGAAGAACGTCGAAATATCGGCATCCACACTTGCCCCGGTGGAGACTGCGACTCTGTGCATTCATACGATGTCGCCTACCATAAACTGTTCCCATCTCTATTCAGAATCAATGCTGGATACTTTTTGATCCAGCTGGCTTCGGAAAAAGATAAAGAAGGGGTATACAAATTGATTGGAGAGAATATTAGGAAAGATGCCAAAGGCGTTAAGCAGGTGAGAGAGTGACGCATGCAATAACCCCAATCCAATCATGCTTTGCATGTAGTAAGAGGCATTATTAATTCATGAGTTTTTTTTCTTTTACTTCATGCAGGTTGCGTTCATCGGAGTCGTGAACACACTGGATCCATCCATTGAGTCGCCAGAGGATATCGCTGAGGCACTGATCACTGCAAGCAAGTATATCCCTCTGGACCAGCTTGGCGCAACAGACGACTGCGGTATGTTCACCCTTTACTCTCAATTCTTCTGGCTGACGTGCATCCAGGATTCTCTCCGTTTTCAATAGACCAGAAACCAAAATATGGAAGCCCTGACTTTGCGCGAGACGTCGCCTTCAAGAAGATTGCCAACAGGGTCCAAGGTGCTCGGTTAGCGAGTGCAAAGCTGGGGATCTAGTATTACCGTTTAGGCCCTTGTTAAAATGGCTAACCTCAACAGTCGTCTCTCTGATCCCAACCTCGTTCGCAATCGAACCAGTCCATTGACATTCTGACCGCCAAGCTTCGTTATCTGCCACCAATCAACGAGTAATATAACTTTCCGTTGATCCTTTCGCATCCGATTTCCTCCCTCACTAGGGCAATCACTTAAGCCGATAAGCTTGATAACGAATGGCCTAAACCGGAAATGGCGATGTTGTCCGGGGCCCCTTGTCTAGCTCTTATCAGTTTCTCTCATCTAGGGGGCTTTCTTCTCTGGTATTTCATTTCCAATAAGAATAAATAATAATATTTATATCTTGTCATCTCGTATAGAGATGATGGCTGGCTTTGTTTTGCTTTTCTAGCTCCTTGGCTTTCTCCTTGGCTTTCTTGCTCATTATCTATCAAAGTCATGGCCTAGGTATGCCATGATCACAGAGTCAAATAGATTCTGTTTCTTATTATCGCCAAGATACTCCGGCTTCGTGGGCCGTGACATTAGGTACCTTCCTAGGTGGGTAGTCTGGAGAGAGCTGGGCAGAGTCGTTGTACTCCGTAGTATAAGAGTCCAGAACGTGACTCCCCTAGGTCAGGAAGAGCAGCCGGGGAATTGGAGATAGATCTCCATAGTAGTTCTTACTTTGGAAGGTACAGTACATACCTACCTACCTAGGCAGTGGGACGCCTTCGACTTTAGTCTATTGTTGATCGCGGACCTTTCTTCTCTCTTCTAAAATCAAGAGACACAGATCTGCTGCTGCTCATGGCTGCTGACCTTGTATGTTGAGCACGAACCCTCGAGAACCATCTCCGATATACCTATCTTTGCCATCTGCCAGCTCTCACTAACAGTAACTGTGAGAACCAGCCGACATTCAACGCATCCATCCCCAACGGGGGCGACCCAACAAAGGTCGACGTGAATGCCCAATATGACGGGTTCCAATACAACTACACATACATCGTGTTCTGCGGCTTCATAGTCTGGCTGATCATCCCCGGGATCGGTCTGCTCTATGGCGGGCTGGCGCGGCGGAAGTCAGCCCTGGCGCTTCTCTTCCAGTCTCTGATGATCGTTGCAGTGTAAGGATAATGCGCCGTCTTTTAACGATGATTCCGTGGACGCAGCTGAGACCAGGCGCGCGGCAGCGTTACCTTTCAATGGATGTTCTGGGGCTATTCGCTCGCCTTTAGTCGAGATGCCAGTCCTTTCATCGGAAGCCTCAAGGCGTTTGGCATGATGAACGTCATGGCTGCCCCCTCGCCAAGCTCTGCCGTCCTCCCAGAAATCGTCTATTGCCTCTACCAGCAGCTTTTCTGCGCCTGCACGGTAAGTAGAATTCCCAGCTTTGCCGAGTTCTCGCATTGCCCTCTCGTCTATCGGTGCTGATTGTGTGGACGATCAGGTCATGATTGTGGTTGGGGGTGCATTTGAGCGAGGAAACATCCTCCCATCTCTGATCTTCAGCTTCTTCTGGGCGACCATCGTCTACTGCCCGATTGCTTGCTGGACCTGGAACAGCAACGGATGGCTCTATAACCTGCCATCGCTGGACTTTGCCGGGGGTGGCCCCGTCCACATTTCTTCCGGATGGGCTGCCCTGGCATATGCCTTCGTCCTGGGGAAGCGCAAGCACAACGGCGAACCTACACACGGGAAGCCTCACAACACGACCCTGGTGTTCCTGGGGACCATCCTGATCTGGTTCGGATGGTTTGGATTCAATGTGAGCTCGTCCATCTGCTGCCTTCTGGTTCATTTTCTTGTTTGCTGACACCTCTCCAGGGAGGTTCTGCTCTCAATGCCTCTGTCCGAGCCATGTTGGCTGCATTCAACACCAATACTGCCGCATGCACGGGGGTTCTCGGATCGGTCCTCGTGGACTATATCCGGCACCGGGGCAAGTTCTCCGTGGTGGGCGCATGCGAAGGGGCGATTGCTGGGCTGGTAGGCATCACTCCTGCGGCGGGTTATGTCTCCGTCTGGCTGGCGGCCTGCATCGGATTCATCACGGCTGTCGTCTGCTGCTCGCTCCAGAACATCAACGACTGGCTCCATATCGACGAAGGGATGGACGTCTTCAAGCTGCATGGCATTGGAGGCATCGTGGGCGCCTTCCTGACGGGAATCTTCGCCTCGTCGTCCGTCTCTGCGCTGGATGGCAGCACTCTGTCGCCCGGGGGGATCGACGGCAACGGCGTGCAGGTCGGCAAGCAGCTGGCGGAAATCTGTGCCATCTCGGGCTACTCGTTCGTGGTGACGTGCATTCTGCTGTACATTCTCAAGTGCATCCCGGGCATGAAGCTGCGGGTCAGTGAAGAGGCGGAGATGATCGGGCTGGATCGAGCGCAGTTCTGCGACGAGCAGATTGGCGACTGGAGCATGCTGGACGGCTTGGCCAAAGGCCCAATCGGGGAGACGGTCACGCCGCCCGGCGAGCAGGCAGTGGTCGAGCAGCCGCAGAAGAGCGACCAGTAATTCAATTTACTTCCTGTAGATCTTGAATCGTTCGTCTATTCCTATTACTTCGAAGCTTTAGATAATCAATAGAAAGTCTTTTTTTTTCTTTCTTCCAGATACAGATAACATGGCTCATCCTTGCTGTATCTTCTGATCATCAGCCAATTTCGGCTAAATTCAGTTTCGCTTCACAGCGTCGCATGCGGGATAAGATAGATTAATATCTATCTACATGCAGATCTGAAACATGTCCTCTGCATTGCTGCTATTCCTGGCTGCAGGCGACGTATGCCGGATGCGGCTTGCAACGCTTTGCTCACTCTGATTGCGCACTGCATGCCCGCCAGCCAACCACCGCCCGCCCTGCCGCCCGGTGACGCTCGCGGCCATCACTCTTGTCGCGTCCGTTTTGGCCCCGGCCCATGCTGCATCTCCCTCCCATCTTCATCACACCCTGCCCTAATTAATTAATTAATCAATCCACCACCACCACCACCGTCTTCTCCTTCTTCTTCGCTCCTCTTTTTAATTCTTCTACTGCCTTTTTCTACTCCTCCGCCGTTCGTTTCGAATCCTCGTCTCGCCTTCCACTTGAAGCTGGTCCTCCAGGTGGCCGCCAAAAAACCGTTCCCACCCCTGCCCACTCGCTGATCGACCCTGTCGCCACATACCAACCCCTCCGTACCATGCTCTCCAGATAGTCCGTCCGTCGCTGTGCCAAATGGGTAAATGTTGGTCTCCTCCGTCCGCTGTCATGTGATCCGCGACCGTTTTGCGTGCTGGATATTGACGCTGTTGCGAATTCTTCAGGGCGCTATGCAGTGATCCTGGACGCTGGCTCGTCTGTAAGTCGTCTGCATCGTTACTCACGATGCTCTGCTCTGACCGCTTCTACCCAGGGGACTCGCGTACATATCTATCGGTGGCTCAATAATGCAAAAGCGCGGCAAGAGGCCAAACCGAAGGAGCTGAAATCTCTGCCCAAGATCAAGACCAAGGAGGAGTGGACGAAGAAGATCCATCCCGGTGAGGATGCGCGAGACCCTCGTCATTGCGTCGAGTCATCTAGACTGATTGGCCATCTCGCGGGGCATAGGCGTGTCATCGTTCGCAAGCAACCCGGAACAGGTGGGCCCCGATCATCTGGACGCCCTTCTGAAACATGCGCTGGAGATCGTTCCCAATCACGCCGTCAAAGAAACGCCCATATTTCTGCTGGCCACGGCTGGCATGCGACTGCTCAACGATATCGAACGAGGGCTGATTCTGGACCGCATTTGTTCCTATTTCCGCTCGAATTCCGACTTCCTGCTGCCCGACTGCGGCCTCCATATCCAGGTGATTCCGGGAGAGACGGAAGGTCTCTACGGCTGGATCGCGACCAACTATCTTTTGGGGAGCTTCGACTCCCCAGAGAACCATGACCATGGGAAGAACCATCATACCTACGGTTTTCTGGACATGGGCGGAGCCTCCGCCCAGATTGCTTTCGCCCCCAACGCCACGGAAGCCGAAAAGCACGCCAACGACCTCAAACTGTTGAGACTGCGCAACGTGGACGGGTCGACCCAGGAGTACAGAGTTTTCGTCACATCGTGGCTGGAGTTCGGCGTCCGCGAAACTCGACATCGCTATGTCAAGCTCATCCAGGAAGCTAGCGAGGGCCCGGGTGTCAAGGAGTTTCCAGATCCTTGTCTGCCACGGGGGTTGCGGACTACGCTGGATGGCAAGCTCCTGTCGGACCCTCCCTCGGAGACATATCTCATTGGGACGGGAAAGTTCGATGAGTGTCTCCGGAAGACCCATCCGTTGCTGGACAAAGACGCTCCTTGCGCCGACGAACCCTGCCTTCTGCATGGGGTTCATGTGCCCGCCATTGATTTTGACGTGAACCATTTCATCGGAATCAGCGAGTACTGGCACACGACGCATGAGATCTTCGAAATGGGCTACAAGGATAAGGCGTACGATTTCAATTCCTACCAGCAAAGGGTCAATGAATTCTGTTCCCAGGATTGGGCTGCCATCGAAAGCGGTATCTCCGAACAGCGGTGGGGTGCGAAGGTCGACCGGGAAGCGGCTTCTGAGGTCTGCTTTAAGGCCTCATGGATCATCAACATGCTGCACAGTGGCATCGGCATCCCTCGCGTCGGTCTCGAAGATACCCATGGCTCTGGTCACAATGGGACCAAGGAGGTCCTTGAACATGGCAAGGAGAAAGGCTTCCTTGATCCGTTCCAGCCAGTCAACAAGATTGATGACACCGAAGTCAGCTGGACGCTGGGCAAGGTTGTGCTCTATGCGTCCTCACAGGTGCCTCCTGTGAGCGAAGACGCCCTTCCCGTCGGATTCGGAAGCAATATGCCCGGCATTCCGGAAGACTTCCAGTATCCCAGCGTCGAGCTGGTGCCGGGACCGAACGGGCCCAAAGGTGTGGAGAGCGAGCACTGGCACGATGCTCTTTTTAATGGAGAGTCGCCGCGCCGGATCCCGGGAGTGTTTCTCTTTGTCGTGATGGTTATCATTGCCATCTTCTTCCTTTGCGGCCGAAATCGCCGTCACCGGATCTATCATCGGATCCATGCCCTGTTCAAGCGTGGTGGAGGTTCTCGCCCCAGGAAGGGATTCTTCGGGGGAAAGTTGCCTTTTGTCTCACGCAACACGCCAACTTATGAACGGGTCATGGAAGAAGGGGGACCAGAGTTTGAGCTTGGAGGTGTTGATAGCGACAGCAGTGACAATGAGAGCGGACGCGCATCGGAGCCCGGGTCTGCGAGCCCGTCTCAGTCGAAGCGATCGCCGGTCAGGAGTGCCGGTGCGACTACTGGTTCCCAGACCCCGAGCTTGAAGTTCGAGTTCGACAATAGTTCTACGGGCAGTATCGGTCTGGGGATTACCTCGACTTCCGGCCCCAATGTGATGGATCGAAGGGGGCTAGCTGTCAGAACGGAGAGTCGAGAACACCTCGCGCCCATGGCTTTGGGTCCGACCACGAACGGTCGGCGATCCAGGCCGGTCAGTCCTTCGAGGCCACAGTCAAATCTGTCGTGATTACGCCTTTGATGCCAAACGATTGATGTCTGAGAGCTGGTCGTCTCTATATTTATTTATTAATCGGGATTTACTATTCCGTCTGGAGTTGTTGGCTCGGTGGTGTTATACAATGATCTGGGTAAGGTGTTCTGGGGGTAGGAATACGCTTTTTTGGTTGATTTTTGGACACAGAGTCACATAGTCCATAACTCTTCTATTCTGCGAAAACGCGTCTGTCGGCTGTAGTCGAGCTGTAAAATAGATTTGTATTCTATTGCAACTATTTAGACATGAAGCTTTTCAGTGGGGTAATGTATCAAATAATAAGACAGTAAAAATAATGAAATAGTACATTAAGATAATAATCGTAATAGAATGGAGCCTCATCCTTGTATACGTCAGTGGTCAATTCACCAGACGGAGGAGCACGTGACTTGGCACTCAACGTCTGGTTTGGAGCTTGCCATCAAGTTTAGCACGTTCTTGCATGAAACCTGACCATCCTTCCTGAATTGCTGAAGATAATTGAATAGTTCCTTCATGATCTGACGATAGAAAAGAGAGCACTTGTGTTTCTTTATTGTCTTTTTTTTCCCCCCCCGCACACCTCTTCCTCGCGTTCCCCCTCTCCGATCGTCATCTTCATTAATTAATTAGGTCACCACCATGCGATTGACCGTCGAGCTCATCCAAAACTCGCTGTCGTACATCAACCCGCTAAAAGAGCGCGAACTGGATCTCCGAGGTGGGTCTTTTACTGCCTGAAAAGAACAGATACTACACTTGTTTCTCTTGCCTTGGTTTTTCGTTTTTTTGTCCCTGTCACTTTTTTATTCGTTCATCAGTGAGGAGCACCGTTGATTCATCATTTTTTGTGTTCTCTTTTTGAGACGAATTTAGGTCATAAGATTCCTGCCATTGAGAATCTTGGTGTCGCGAAGGTATGTACATACGATGCTCTGCTTGTCCGTCCGAAAGGTTCTTTTTTTTTTTGCTAAAGTGTTGTTGTATTGTAGGATCAAGATGCCATCGACTTCACGGATAACGACATCACGTCGCTGTCGAATTTCCCGTATTTCCCCCGCCTGCGAACCCTGCTGCTTGCGCGCAACCGCGTCAATCATATCTCGCCGAACCTGGCGTCGTCCATACCGAACCTGACGACCTTGGTGTTGACGTCGAATAACATGGCCGAGTTGGCGGATCTCGACCCGTTGCAGCATTTCCCCCGGTTGACGCACCTGGTGTTGATGGACAATCCGGTTACGAGGAAGGAGGTGGGTTTTCAAGACGCAAACTACAGTTGAAACAGAGTTATTTTTTTTTGACACGGTTCTGCAGCATTACCGACTCTGGGTTATCTGGCGCAACCCCAACATCCGGTTCCTCGACTACCAAAAGGTCAAAGACGCGGAGCGCGCCAAGGCCAGAGAGATGTTTGGCACGCCGGAAGAACCGTCGGCGCTCGCGTCCAAGATCATGGGCATCAAGTCTCGCACCTTCGACGTGCCGTCCACCGCGCCCGGTGCCGAACGCGCCGCGCCAGGCGAGAAGGCCATCCGAGTCAAGCTGACGGAAAAGGAGAAGAAGCGCGTCGAGAAGATGATCCGCGAGGCGAAGAGCCTGCAAGAGATTGCCCGGCTGGAGAAGGAGCTGAACGAGGGACGCATCCCGGCCGGCGCCATGGAGGGCGCGTCTGATGAAGAAGAAGAGGGTGATAAGATGCAGACGTGACGTGACATGACGGTGAACTCGACTTGACTTGACCGATTCTTCTTCATCTAGATACCAAGAGAAGAACACGAATACATACGTACAAAACTTACAGATGGGTTGGTTGGTTAATTGGGCCGGTCATGGGTGTCTGTCTCTTTTTCTTCTTCCTTTGTGATAACAGGCATTGTGAAAAGTTTGAGATTTCATTCAATTGCATTACATTGCATTGCAAATTCTGTCACTTTACGGGCATCTAACCAGCTGGCAACGAGCGAGTGAGTTAGCTGGTAGGGTGGTATTACAGTCCTGGGAGTTGAGGAGTTTTATTTATCTGGCATGGCATGTTTTCAGAAACCAAAAAAGAAATTGTCCTTTCTAATAATAAATGGTATCATATGTCTATGTCTAGCTAGGTAGCTTTTTATAGTTTCTCAGTGATGCTATGCCTGTAACCTGTAGCTTCTTAGCATGTAGTCTATACAGAGCACGATAAGTATCTTCACGTTTCTGAATGCCCTCAAGAGACTCGAATGTATGTACACTAGAAGCGAGCTTCCTACCTAACCATATATTAAATACCTCTTAAAACATTCTGCAACCAAGGCACCACCGGGCGGTGCGCTGCATGTCGCGACACCAATGCTTGGTTACACAGCAACATGCTAATAATACTTGCGTCGTCGACAAAACTACCATTAATATCCCATTATTCTGCTCCGTTGAGTTCTTCATCTCCCTAGCAAAAAAAAAAGGCCTTCTCATTCTTACGGAGTAGGGGGGGCAACGGGAAAGGAGAACTAAATAAACTCTTTATCGATCAATCAATATTTTTTTTCCCTCCTCTGCACGAGATCTAATCTGCATTTCCCTAAAATATGGGGTCTACACGCGTTCCGAGTCATGGCGGCCAGCAGCAGGACGACGGGATGTATCGAAATACAGAGCCCGAAGGTCTGCAGGTTTGTGAGACTCGAGAAGCATATGGGGAGGAACCATTCCCAAGGAACATGTACATACGCTCCGGCGACGGCCCCGGGGAGCCATGGTTATTATGGGCGAGAAAAAAAAAGGAACAATCCACAACTGATATGCGGATTGCGAAAGACGACCTTCTGGCTTCTCTGTATCATTATCCTACTGGTTATATATAGGTGGCGCAGTCGGGGGTTGGTGTGTGTGTGGGAGGAGCATTATTGGCATCAAAAGAAAAATGACGCTTCGCGATCACCGTAAGTACCTAAGTCCCTGTCGAGAAATTCAATTCCGGCAGCTGGCAATCGCTCACTGATCTCCATTTCTCTCTCTAATAATAAATTTAGAATCGCCCACGGCAGCAAGACCCCCGACCAAATCGATTCCTTCCGCGATTTCTTCTACGACTTCTTCTTCTTCTTCTTCTTCGGCGACTGTGACCTCGGAGACGCCCAGCGGCGTGGCCGAGGATCCCTGCCCGTCCGCGAATCAAACAACTTATACATCATCATCCACAGGAGGAGCCCTTTTCCTGCTCTTCTGTGATATCGACTGGCCAGCAGGCGAGGCCGCTGCTGACGACAATGGAACCGTCAGCGACCTGGGCGCTTACACTCTTATACACGCTGGAAAGCTGCATCGACAAGTGTACTAGTTATAACGAGATGCTTGCGACTAATAATAATGGGTCCACTCCCTGTACTGCCATCGAGTACCAATCAGATCTGAAATTGGCGATTGGGTCAGGGTGGGAAGGCAAACTGCTTCCTCAAAGACCGAATGGGGATATATATATATATATAAAAATACGTCCCAGGAGGTGTCGGTGCGGCGATAGTAGGTTGGTGAAATAGAAGAAGAAGAAGAAAGAGAAGAAGATAGTTTGAAGGCAGACAAATACTCTTGATATATATATATTATTAGGTAGGTAGGTAGGTAGGAAGCAGTTCAAGGGAGCAAGTGCACATCTTACAGTAAATTTGGCGCATTAATTCTGATACTAACATCCAAACAAACCATCGCTATATCTATACAATGCAGAGGAAGTAATTCCGCCGCAGTGATCATTATTTCAGTATTATCATTACTACCCAAGTCAGTGCCTTAAAGGCTTAAAACCTTTGATCGATAGATCAATCGATAGATCAATCTGATAAGATTAACTTTTATCTGCTGACTAATCACTAGGCAGCTGCTGAAGCTGACAGACGTCACTGCGGATCGGATCCCCCACCCATACTCCGTAGGTACCTAGTTTACTTTGAACGTCCGTCATCTGTGCAATTTCGATTTTCGAGGCTGATTCCTCCATTATACTGAAGCTTGAAGAATCTGTGCCTTTCTTCAATTTTTTTTACGCACTAAATTGACTTGGTTTTTTTTCCCTTTTTTATCTGGAGGGTGAAATTGAATGTGTGTGCTGTATGGATTGAACTGTATGTATGTATGTAATTGCTCCTAGTACTCTGCTTATTCATTCACTCTATTTATATGCTTTTTCCTAGGTAATGGATGACTCTAATACTCTGGAATAGGATTCCGGATTGATACTACTGTTCCTTTCAGGGCTTGTTTTACGCCTGGAGAGGCTGTGTTTGCTTGCGTCTTTAAAGCTATCACCTCTATCACCTGCTATCACCTGTAGCCATTATCTATCTCTCGATATACTGCTACTGCTCCTGCTTCAATCGTCTCACGCAATCTGGCGTCTCTGTCTGCGTCTGCGTCTGCGACTTGTCGTCGCCGTCTCCAGCATCACCTACGACACATCATATCCAGCAGCAGCAACAGCGTCCGCGTCCGCAACATGGCGACATCATCATCGGCCGACCCAGCCCCCGCTCCCTGGCGCCACGTCTTTGAAGAGCACATCTCCAAGCTCGAAGACCCCTACTTCGCCGTCTCTACCGTCGCGCGCGACCCGGCAACCAGCGCAGCCGTCCCCCGCGTGCGCTACTGCGGCTTCCGCGGCTTCTTCGGCGAGCTGAAGCTGCACCCGCTGGCGGAGAAGCAGCTGGAGGAAGAAGACGGGGGGAAGAACCCGTCCGTGTTCGAGAGCGACATGCTCTCGTTCACGACGGACGTGCGCATGGGCAAAGTCGAGCAGCTGACGCAGCAATCTGACGGCGCGATCGAAGTCGTTTTCTGGGTCAAGGAGGCCATGACGCAGTGGCGGATGAGCGGGAAGGCGTTCATCATCGGCGATGCGGCGGAGGAGAAGCATGAGCAGGATGCGCGGAGGGAGATTCAGAAGGGTTTGCGAAGGCGGAAGCGGAGAGGTGGTAATGACGATGACGACGACGAGAAGAAGTGGACCTGGGAGAAGGAAGTCACCATGTACTTTGCCAACCACAGTCCTATCATGAGAGGTATGTATATAACCTCTATTACTTGACTATTTCTTTCTCCCCGTGACTACACGTCTTTCTTCGAATTGTTCCTCCAGACGTATTCTGACGATAAGAACAAAACGCAGGCACATTCAAAAACCCATCCCCAGGCCGCCCCATCACCGAGGACAGCGGCGATCCAAACCTCAAACTGGGACAAAAAGTCACCGATCTTCACGACCCCATTGCAAGGAAGCACTTCCGTGTCGTGGTCATCCGCGTCGAGGAGGTGGACCGGCTGGATCTGATGGACCATGCAGAGTCGAAGCGCTGGAAATGGACGTTTGTCAGTGATGACGGTGGAGCTGGACGGTGGGAGGAAGTGGAGCTGTGGCCGTGATATTTCCCCTATCTATCGAGATGTCGATCGGTCGATCTATGTGTGTGTAGCTAGCTAGCTATATCTGGGTTCTTTGGTCTATTCTATAATCTATAATCTATCTTCTTTATTGGAGTTCGTTTCGATCGAAGAGTAGTCGTTAAACAGACGACCTAGCCAGCAATAACATGTATCTTGATACCTGTAGAATTTTGATATCATATCAACATTAACATCATCAAGAAGAGTAAGTAGAGCAGAGTAGGGAGTCTAAAAAGCAAGACATGAAATTGATTTGATATACCTCGGTGCTTTCTCACCAGATACTCACTACAGAGGCATATCTTGCTTACTCGTTGCTTGCCTACCTCCCTGGCTGCTTACTGAGATTGAGATGTGCCTTTCTTTCAAACTGGCCGGAAAGTTCCGACTGTCAAGCCGGAGATTCACTGCAAAGTGAATTCTGACAGTGCCTGGTGAATGGTACGTGTCACCCATAACAACACGTAGGAATTACTGCTGGAAGGTTCCGTTCATGTTGGCTGTGGAAGGGTCTGTCTGCCGTAACTTCACTTTTAAGCTGTGTTCACACTGTGAAAGTGAGGTTTGACAAGACATGTCGCCCACGACAACAATGACAAGCAACAAAAAACACGTCCACAGAGACCTCACGACACGAAATTCACTGTAAACAACAACATTCAACTCAGTGACTGCCTGCCCACTGGCACTAACCTGGACTTGTACCCTATAAAGCCCACCTTCTCGTCCCAGCTTCTTGCAACTTTCTTCTTCTTTCCTCGCCCAGCAGCGTGCCAGATACAAGCCTTCCTCTTCTGACTCGTTTCGAAATCTCGAACTGCGCTCATTCCCGCGCAATCAAAACGTTACAACCTCTTTCTACCTCTCTGGCAACGTTGTTGCTTCCCTCTCCTCCCTCGCGAAGCTCTGTTCCCGTTGAGCTTCGTGACGCGTTTGTCTGTTGGCGGCGGCAGCTGATCACTTGGGTTCGTTCTTCTCAACAGCTTCCTCGCTTCCCTTTCCTCTGCTAACCTGCATAGTGCTTCGAGCCCTCTCAGCTGTCGCTTCGGCTCTTGAGCTGTTTCCGTTGCTCAGAGCCGCAATGCCGTCGTCCACTGGTTCCCGGCCATCAACACCACCCCGGGCCAGGGGACTCGGCACCTCGTCGTCCCGCTGCAAGGAGTATGGCGTTCCCTGCGAGCCGTCCGGGGCCGACGAGGTCGACCTTTGCCCCGACCACTTGTGGTTGAAGGGCAGTCACCTCTCCCGGAGTGAGCTCACTCAGGGAACAGCCCCCCCTGTAGTCGGGGCCGACAAAGAAAGCGTGCCCTCCGAGGGCGAGAAGGTATGAATGACACCCTCAATCGTTTTTCAACTTCATCTTCAATCACATGCTGATGATATCTGTCTTTTCTATTGCAGGAGCACGTCCCAACCCCTCCGTTGGCCAAAGCACGGAGGGTCCGTATGACGCCGGCTTGTGTGGACTGTAAGAAGGCAAAGAAGCGTTGCCTGCATCGTCGACCCTTCGACGAAGGTATGTTCGCCCTCCTTGTCATTCATTCTTCATCACAGCATTACTGACTGCTCTTCAGGC